TGTGGTCCATCATCAAATGTGAGATTTACAAGGAGGGAAAACAGTACACCTCTCTGAACAGTGTCTGGGAGGCTGTGGTTGCTGCTGCACGCAATGTTGATGGTGAACAGATCAAAACACTGACAGAATCCATGGATGGCAGGCTTTTGAGTGTCCTTGCAAAGAAAGGTGGCTATATTGGTCACTGATTTGTTTTTGTTTTGTTTTTGAATGTCAGAAATGTATATTTGTGAATGTTGAGATGTTATATTGGTTTCACTGGTAATAATAAATAATTGAAATGGGTATATATTTGTTTTTGTTAAGTTGCCTAATAATTATGCACAGTAATAGTCACCTGCACACACAGATATCCCCCTAACATAGCTAAAACTAAAAACAAACTAAAAACTACTTCCAAAAATATTCAGCTTTGATATTAATGAGTTTTTTGGGTTCATTGAGAACATGGTTGTTGTTCAATAATAAAATTAATCCTCAAAAATACAACTTGCCTAATAATTCTGCACTCCCTGTATATATATATATATTTTTTAAAAAAAAATTTTCTCCCCTCCTTTTATATATTGGATGAAACTCTTTGTATGATATATATACCCTTTTCCTGAGTTTCCTATTATGGCTCCTATTATGGCATTGTATAAAGAAGATAGTATTTTATTATGTATGGACGTTTTTGTTTATTTTTTATTTTTTAATGCACATGTGCATTAAGAACATTAGGTAAAGCTATTACTTTTACCTGAAACCGGAAATTCATCAATACAGAAGGGGACATGACCGGTGACCCGGAAATGCCCCTTGAACATGCAACGTAACCGGAAACCAGGTGACCGAGAGTAACAACCGGAAACGAACCGACGAAGAGAAATTAGCGCGCCTTTTTTGAAGATATTTAAACGTTAAGTTAATTATGACATTTAGCACTTTGATAAAGACCATAGCGGTCGAAATGCGTTAGTGCAACTGTATTTGGGAGATTCTGTTTTTATGCTGTTAGTTATGCAAATAAAGATTTTGTTCCTGCATTTATTTTCCACCTGGTGTTAATCCAAACTATACAAGGGGAGACTTTCCAGTGAACATCCTGATTCGTGTTCCAGCATTGTGGTCTCCAGATTATTGAAAAGGCGCTTGTAGGGCGCTTGTAGTCTGAGCCACTCTTTATGGCTCAACACCACGTGAGTGGGAGATTTTATATCTACTTTTATTCATTCATTATATACGGGCTATGCTATGTTCTGTATTTTATATTTTTAGGACATAGATATATGGTAAAATTGCATGTTTCATATATCCGTCATTATCTACACTTGGTGTATGTATTTTGCTCTCACCATATTGTTTGTTTTATTCAGGAGTCTCACTTACCTAGAGAAGCCACCCTTGCCCTCAGAGACCACATGTATAGCACCGTAGTAGAAGCTAGAGCACTTAATAAACGTAATGGAGTGGCGATTCTGCTGCGCCGCGACTGCCCCATCAGAGAGTCGATTTCTGAAATTGACTGGTCTTATAGACATATGGCAGGCACAACATCCGGGTGAACACGATTATACCATCTTCTCTGCCCCGCACCACACATACTCACGCATAGACCTGTTCTTAGTCAAGAGAGCCACTGTACCGAAAGTGATCTACACCTGCATTGGTTCCACCACCTGGTCGGACCACTCAGACATACACCTGAAGCTGGGCAGGTGTATGTCTGCGCATTCAGCCGAGGAGGAGAGCTCCCCGCCCGGCGCTGGAGAAAGAGGTAAGTTTAACCCCTTCCTCACCATAGAGCCCGGCGGGAGGGGGACCCTGAAGGTTGGGGGCACCCTCAGGGCACTATAGTGCCAGGAAAACGAGTATGTTTTCCTGGCACTATAGTGGTCCTTTAAGGGACCAAACCTCTGGAATAAAAGGTAATCATGACATGTCACACATGACATGTGTCCTTAAGGGGTTGTTAAAGAAACAGAAAAAAAAGAAACAAACATAATTCTTGGTTGTCATAATAGGATCCTGACACTTGCCATGTTTTATTTACTTTTGTTATTTTAATTTGTTTTATTTGCTTAAATAAAATTGTAGAAGCCATGCTTTAGCCCTAAAGATTCCTGACAGACCTACTTTTTCCAAGAAGGGTATTCTAAGAGTCCAGTGCATTGGCTCTCAAAAAGGTGAGCAGAGCCATCACTGCATATCTTGTGCATATATTTATTTTACAATAACACACTAGGAGTTGGTCTCACATTCTGCTTTATTGCCCTTTCTGAAGCCTTCCTGGATTAAAGAAAGAAGACGTTTGGGTATTACCTGCTGTTGTGATTTAAGCCTATCCATCTTTGTCTCTGCCCCATGTGAGTGCATCCATCATCCACTACACATATCACATAGTTGTTAAATTTAATACACTATATTTTTTTTAATTTATCCTAGTTTATATTGCCGCTCCCTTAATATAAGGATAAGTGTATATTTATATATTATATACACACAGAACACTCGGTTCACTGTGTTTGTTTTCGCATGTTTTTGTGTACAGTTTGAGGGAACTGACACGAGTGGAGTAGCAGCTATTATAGGTCTTTTTTCTGATAAACTTCACAAGCGCCTTATAGCACAGAGCACTTTCTGTATTTGAGCTTTCTGTTCTCCTATAATCTATTTTCTTATTCTACATTGCAAGACAGAGGCAAGACTTTATGACAATATCCTATTGATTACTTGTTTGGCTTTTTTTATGGCTTCTTAGGTTTATGCAAATTAATATTGTTTTTTATAAATATTAGCTGTATTTGAACTCTGTCCCTCCCACTATATATATACACTGCTTGGGTATTACCCATGAGTAAATGATGCCATGTATGATCAGGAATATGGAAATTGTTTAACACTTTCAGTACTTTTCTTTTCCTGATCATTATTCATGGCAGCATTACGTTCCCACCCATATACAGGTACAATGAGATTTGTGAAATAAGAAATTCTACATTAAACAGTATTTGCAATAAAGGACGTTTAAACATTAGATCTCACTTTACAGGAAGTGTTAAGAAAGGCTGTGTAAGTCACGTGCAGAGAGGTGTGACTAGGGACATATAAACAAAGTCATTTAACTCCTAAATGGCAGAAAATTGAGCAGTTCAAGTTGTTTTGTTAAACAGTGTTCCTGTAACATTAATATCAGCTAGCAAGTCTTCTAAGGTGTGATAAATAGATCTCTGCAAATATTATGTGCACTTTTGTATATCATTGTTGTAGCTATTTTAAAGGGATACTATAGTGCAAGGAATACAAATGTTTTACATTGCAGCTCTAAGTGCGATATGGACACTGCACCCAGCCCACTTCAATTAGTTGAAGTGGGCTGGGTGCCTACAGTGTCCCTTTAAGCTACACCCTGTGTCCTGATTCCTTGATTAATATCTTGCAAAAACTGCTTACTTAACAATATATAGTATTTAATTTGATCCCTTGCTTAATTCTTTTGTTATTTTTTAAAGATATGTCTCAATGAGAGTTTATGATTTTAGTTCATATTTAGTGTTCCTTTTTATTAGGGGAATACTCAGTAATAAATTTATTTATAAAATATTTTACCAGGGTGGATACATTGAGATGTATTTAGGTAAACTAGAAAAATGGTCAGAATTGTGGCAACTGACATTTAATGTGGATAAGTGCAAGATAATGCATCTTGGACGTAAAAACCCAAGGGCAGAGTACAGAATATTTGATAGAGTCCTAACCTCAACATATGAGGAAAGGGATTTAGGGGTGATTATTTCTGATGACTTAAAGGTAGGCAGACAATGTAATAGAGCAGCAGGAAATGCTAGCAGAATGCTTGGTTGTATAGGGAGAGGTATTAGCAGTAGAAAGAGGGAGGTGCTCATGCCATTGTACAGAACACTGGTGAGACCTCACTTGGAGTATTGTACACAGTACTGGAGACCGTATCTTCAGAAGGATATTGATACCTTAGAGAGGGTTCAGAGAAGGGCTACTAAACTGGTTCATGGATTGCGGGATAAAAAACTTACCAGGAAAGGTTAAAGGTAGAGGTTAACACAGTAAAGGAGTTTAAGCATGCGTGGGATAGGCATAAGGCTATCCTAACTATAAGATAAGGCCAGGGACTAATGAAAGTATTTAGAAAATTGGGCAGACTAGATGGGCCGAATGGTTCTTATCTGCCGTCACATTCTATGTTTCTATGTCTGTCGTTTTCAAGTATGTCCTGGGTCCACAAAACATTGAATTGTTACAATATTACAAAAATACAATATACAAACTATAAATATATATACACACACACATATATAAATGTAATACATAACAGGTAATAAATATATTCAACCATGACAGGGGAGTGTTGTATTTTCTGAGGGTAATTTCCATTAAAGGTGGCTCAGGGTACCGCACTGTTTTTTTGTTTTTTTTTTAACTATAGCACAGTTTGGCCAATTTTGCTTTAATTTTTTTTAAAAAAAATTTTAATTTTTTTTTCTAATTCTGCGTTCAGTTCACAATTCTTAATTTTGTGAATGATACTGTGGGAGTGTCATAGTGGTTATGGCAAAGTGAAAGAAGTGTCGGAAAGTAAATTAAAAAAAAAAAACAGTCGGAGGGGGTTTATATAGAACATTACATGAATAAAACATAGTTTTCTAGCTGACAGCAAATATTTAGAAAACAAATTGTGGTAGCCACGCCCCCAGCTTCCACATGACATCGTTGTCCCTCCAGCTTCGTGACGTCACACCTGGGAAATAGGTATGCCTGCAGCGTGAAACACTCCTGAACCCCGCCCATTTCTGCAATCATTCTCGCCAGCCAATCGAATTAGAACGTTCTTGCATCCTCACAGGTCCGCAGCCAGCGGAAGGCTTGGCCTTCTTCGCAGCCCTGCGTTAGGCCACGCCCCCTCACTGAGAGCTGCCAGCAGTGGGCATGACCGTGTGATTGACGGGCCGTAAGACCAACGGGGCTTGATGTAATAACTGAGGGCGGGTCTGTGTGGACTTCCTATTGGTATCAAAGGAGGACATCGAACTGCTGAGTGAACGGAGACATTTAACTTGGTAAAGTAATTAACCAATGGGCTAGGAAGGTGAAGCCAATGATGTTAGTGAATGGGTTAATGAAGGGGATAATGAATGGGTCAGTGAAGGGGTGATAAGGAGGTCAGTGAATGGGTTAATGGGGAGGTTAATGAATGGGTCAGTGAAGGGGTTAATAAAGAGATCTTTTAAGAGGTAATGAGGGAATTTATGAGGACATTAATGAAGGGGTTAATGAAGAGCATGTGACTTTTAAGAGTGCCAGAGCAATTCTACACAGCCGGGAAGAAAATGGTTAATTCTTTAAAGAAATTCAGCTAATGAGCTCCTGGTTTATAGACATTTGTATGGGTAGTTTATTTTTGTGAAGCAGTTGGAAAAAACTTTCTACCATCCATCCCCTGGCACGGCACCTTGAGTAGTTATCAATACATAGTGAAGCAGTCCTATGATACAGCTTCAAATGTTTTTGTGCCCATGTAGAAGTCAGATATACATTTTGTTTTGTTGTTGCTTTCTAAATATCATCAAATGTTCTATTTTTGTAATAAAATAAATTTAAAAAAAATTTTTGTTTAGCAAACATATCTTTGTTATTGTCAAATTTAGATTGTGGATGATGGGAGAGACACATTGCACAGGGATCCAGTGGCCAGGGGATCTGCTGAGTCTGAACAGGAGGTGTTTAGGTGTTTTTAAGAAATTTTTGATCAGTGTAACCTTTACTGACCTGGTTTCCCACAACAACAAAAAAATAGATACAAATAATGCAATAACTTACCTCCGTTCCAGCACAAAGGCCAAGTTTGCTCTGCAGCCTGACCCTCTTCTAGCTGAGGAGAGGACCATGGTGGAGTGACCCCAAATCCATAACGTGCATGCTGGTGACAGATGTCTAGTATGCACAAATTTGATATTAGCCTGCTCTGAATTCTTAATGATATCCTAATAATGCTCTCAGAGGTGGATTTACCCCTCTGCCAAGCAAAGGGCTATATCTCTGTATGCGCAGCGTTTTCAAAGCCAGACCCTACCACACCATACCTTGGTCACCAAATGGGTTATCCAACCCTCATCCCACAGTAAGATGTCAAATAATTTTAGCACAGTTTGATAAGCCACGGCCCAGTTCTGTGCCCACACTCTACAGAGATAGCATGATTGTTCTCATTAGCCGAGAGTGATTTACCACATTGTCCACCAACTCCTGAGACATTTTGGTAAATCAGTGTTTCTATTTTTCCAACTGTAATGCGTAATGTTCCCTGGCTGTAGATGAAATGAGCTGTATTGTGATATCAATTGGTATTGTTTAAAGGGACACTATAGCACCCAGATAACTTCAACTCATTAAAAGTAGTTTGGGTGCACTGTCCCCTTAATCCTATAGGTGCAACATTGCAGTTTTAGTAAAACTGCAATGTTTACATTGCAGGGTTACGAATACCTCTAGTGGCTGTCTACCAGACTGCAGGATCTTCCATAGAAAGACTGAGACTGGTCTCAGTATATCTTTTGATAGGGATGCAATTTCAGTGAAATTCCAGCAAATCAGAGTATTTCATAAAGATTCTATCTTCATTAAATACTAATTTTTGATATGGAAGTGACAGAGCTGCTTTAAGCCCTTAAGGACCAAACTTCTGGAATAAAAGGGAATCATGACATGTCACACATGTCATGTGTCCTTAAGGGGTTCTCTAGTGCCAGGAAAACAAACCCATTTTCCTGGCACTGTAGAATCCCTCCCCACCTGACGTTGCTGAAGAGGTTAAAACCCCTTCAGACACTTACCTGAATCAAGCGCCGATGTCCCTTGGCGCTGGGTCTGGCTCCTCCCCTGACCTAATGCGTATGCGCAGCAATAGACGAGCTTGCATTAGGATCTCCCCATGGGAAAGCGTTATTCAATGCTTTCCTATGGGGATTCTGACGACGCTGGAGGTCCCTCTAGTAGACAGCCACTAGAGGAGGAGTTTTATAAAAACTGCAATAATTACACTTGCAGGGTTTAGGGTGATGGGAGTTGGCACTCAGACCACTGCAATGCGCTGAAGTGGTCTGGGTGCCTACAGTGTCCCTTTAAATAAGGGAATATGTAGTGTGAAAATGTGTAATAGATGTTTTCCCAACTTACCATGGGATAGCTGTATGCCTCTCCTCCCTGCATTCTCCACCAGCATGCCCATACTAGTCTCATTCTTGCAGGCACTCTCACTGGTTGAAGACATCCCCATGATGGCAGCTGGGGCTAGCCCTAGTGTTCAGCTCACCTAGAACTCAATCAGGAGGAAAGGGAGTAGCCAGCCACAAGATTGACATATAAGCCAGTTGTGTGGGCCTATCACAGCTGAATGGGCCTGCAGTTAAATATACCTACCATTACAATTATAGACTGATCATTTTTTGTCAGTGGGAAAACATTCAAAATAAGCAAGGGATCAAATACTTTTTTCCCTCACTGTATGTGTATATAATTTTTCATTTTTTTTGTTATCTAGAGGAATTTTATTTTAACATTTTAATGTTTTTTAAAGTAATTCTTTTGGCATCATCTTGTGGCTAAATTGTGAATTACACTTGTAATTTGAATGTAGCCTCAAAATGGCCAGTTTAGTTAACCTATTAAAGCAGCACTGTCATGCCGAACTTACCTTTCCTCAATCTCTTCCTCTTCTCCCCCTCTCTCAGGATCTGTTCTTTTCTTCCTGTCTTCTATAGTTTTCTTTGACCAGCGGAGGAGCAAAGTGTGCTTCATTTCCGCTGGTCAGAGCAATTTTCCCATGATCCTTAGCTTTCCTCCCTGTTCCCACGATGCTCCCTGTCAGTATTGCCGAACGTCCTGTCACTTAGACAGAACGCCGACAAAACTGCCGAATTGCATCCTAACAGAATGAGAACAGTTTCTCCATTCGTGTTAGGATGCAATTCGGGACTTTGTTCGGATCGCAATTTCATTCGAATGAATGAAACTCCGATCCTATTCGTGCTGTGGCTGCATCTTGCAGGCGCTTAGTAGATAACTCCCTAATTCCCACGGTATCAGGGAGTTATCTACTAAAATGCTGAAAGACCTAAATTGGTCTTTCAGACAAATTTACTAATACTAAGTAAAGATTACTTAGTATTAGTAAATTCTGCCCCTACTCGCTATACTGCGAGTAGGGGCATGTCTGTTAAACAGTGAGCAGCCTGTGGCCCGACTGTCCCCCCCACCTGGTCCCCACCCCTACTGTCCCCCCCACCAAGCCCCTAGTCACCCCCCCCCACCCAAATAAAACTATCCCCTACCTACCCCCTCACACTAAAAATAGTGAGGGGGGAATAAAATAACTAACCTGTAAACAAAAATTAAACTTACCATTTGACATCTTCTTTTTTCTAAAATCTTAATTTTTCAGCCCCAAAAAAGGCCATATAAAAAGCCATCATACCCGTCAAACTTAAAATAAAATAAAAAACCCGAGCGCAAAAAAAAAATCTGACGAAAAAGAAAAAAACAGATGCTAAAAAAATGAATCCATCTTCACCCATGGATTAACGTTGAACTTAAAATAAAATAGAAAACCTGAGCGCAAAAAAAAAAAATCCAGACGAAAAAGAAAAAAACAGACGCTAAAAAAATTAATCCATCTTCACCCATGGAGGGCTCCGCGCAGACTGAGCTCTGCAGGGCGGGAGAAGGCTTATAAAGCCTTGCCCCGCCCTGCAATTAGGCTAAGAACACTCTGGTTGGTTTAAGCCAATCAGAGTGCTCCTTGTCATTTTACACAGCGTGGGAAAATTCCAAAGAACTTTCCCATGCTGTGTAAAATTACACAGAGCACTGTGATTAGATGGATTTCAAGCCACAGGTTGCTCACTGTTTAGTGGACATGCCCCTACTCGCGGTATAGCGAGTAGGGGCATTCGGGAGATTTTAATCTCCCTTATGTTATTATGGGGGTCATATTGACCCCCATAGAGTGAGGGGGGACCTGGGGGGCTTATGAAGTGGCGGGGAGCACTGCTCCCTTCCGCTTCTATCTTTACATATTACAAGGAGAGAGCTGCGTGCCGGTAGCTCCCTCCTTGTAATAAACTGAACGAACAAACGAACACTGAACGAACAAACGAACACTGATATTCTATTTATTCATTCGTCTTTCTGATGAATGAATGAATAGATGAAATTCCCGTTCGCGTGTCCAAGTGTTTAATTGGGCATGTGCGGGAATCTCAGTGATATCTAATGTGGGCAGATGACCCACAGGGACTTCATCTACCCACACAAAGATGGCGGCGCCCTGAATATAGATTGGGGCAGAAAATAAAGATGAAAAAATAGATAATATGGGGGGCTTAGGGGCATTTGGGGGTGACTAGGGGGTCAATTAGAGATAGTGGAGGTGGGAGGGGGGTTAAAAAAAAAACGGGATTCGGCCATGACAGTGCCGCTTTAAAGGGACTCTCCAGGTACCCAGACCACTTCTGCCCATTGGAGTGGTCTTGGTGCCAACTCCCACCACCCTTAACCATGCAAGTGTAATTATTGCAGTTTTTATCAGACAGCCACAAGAGGGACTTCCGGGTTCTTAGAACATGAAAAGTATTTTAAACAACGCTGGACGTCCTCACGCTATGCATGAGGACCTCCAGCGTCGTCGAAATCCCCATAGGAAAGCATTGAATAAGTAAGTAATGGCCCTTTTTATATGCAATTCTCTTTCTTCAGAAACTCTAACCTGATCCAAAAAACATTCTGTGAATGTTGCAATGTGGAATCCCCATGAGGGGAATGTTACTCGAAATCCTGTAACAAATCCATTTTTGTTTCACTGTCTTCTTACTTATTTCTGTATTTCTAACTATTCTTGAAAAAAAACCTAATATGTATTTCTTTATTTTCCCCAGATACTGCAGTCTTGGTGAAACCATAGACCCAAACATGAGCCAGTGGGCAGCACTTCTTGGGATGACTAACATATACCAGGAACAGGTCCTGGGTCTGTACAGTCATGAACTCTTGCCTATGGAGGTGCGTCAGTATCTGGCACCATGGATCGAATCACAGGACTGGTGAGAATAATCTGTGCAATTTTGGTTCTATAACTGAAGTGGAATTACCCCTCTAAAATCCTACATTTTATAACTGGTCATGGGACTCATAGTGAACAGCATCTTGTGTGCTGAAGATTTACTGTGATTATTTTATAAATCAATATAGTGCCTTCTTCAACAGGACTGCATGATACTTGCCATTTTTTATGAAGCTGAATTAAATGTTCATAATTGCATTCTCCAAATTATATTGTTTTTGTAACACTGAAATGGTTATGATTTGTGAACTCAAGTAATTTTGGGTTTTCTAATGGTTGTTTGTGGCTTATTTGTATATGATTTATGTTGCACTTCTTATCATATATTCTATGCATGTCTTTTCATTCAGGAAACAAGCAGCCAGGGATCGCTCATTGGCAGATATTATGTTTCAGAATCTCTTGGAGAATCTGGACACACAGTACAGCCGCTTCACACAGGAGCAGGAGATACTTCAGAGCCTCAATATCCGAAAACTAAAATTAGAAATGCAGGTGATGAATACAATAGTGCTCCTTCTGTGTTTGACTTAGGAATGTAAATAAACCAAAGACCTGTTAACACGCCAGTCTCCCTTTTTATCTAAAAACTGTTTTTATTTGTACCAGTAGAGTATGTGCTGTATATAACTTCATAGCACACCTTTTCAGGGTTATTCGCTAGACTGGTAATTGTAGAGAATTCACAGGGCAATTGCAAATTTTAGGTTGAGAAAAAAACCAAAACTGTGCTGAATCCTCTTTTTTTCAACGGTACCTTTTGTTTAAAATCAGTACATCTGAGAATGCCTTACTGACAATTTTTTTTTTTTTTTTTTTCAATACACATTTCTTAATAAAATATTATAGTGAATGAATGAACTTCCTCCATTTAAAATTCTACTACAACACAATTCTACAAATCAGAGAGAATACAGTACTAGCAATTTACTAAGATAAATATGTATGGATAGTGACAATCGTTTATTATTAGATTAATCAGCCCATCCAATAAAAACAGACAAGTTGTTAACATTTAGTAATGTTTATTTAACACTTAAGGGGTATATAACCATAAAACAAAAGTATACCAAATAACAAATACCTATAACTTCATTAAACCTTACCAAATTGCCAATCATGCCTAGGTGGCCTGACTGTCCTTTTAAACCACTACCATACCATAACCTACTACCATATCATTCCATAGAATTTGTCCATGAGGATGACCTTTTTTGCCATTATTGCACCATAGAAAAGAAAGTTACCTGCGCTCTCTCCTTAATCCCTATGTATATTTAGACAAATGGAGGTCATTTAGTTGCTCCAATGGCCATTGGAAGGAATGCCCGCCTGCCAACGTCAAGTCAGACCCCCCTAAAGCGGGTCCTACATTGACCCTTCAGCCTGCTTCCTTGAGCTTCTGGCAAAGATATCTCCACTGAGACAGAGAGGGTATTTTTTATATACACCCCTATATACTTATTAACCTTTAATAGGGAACGCATGGGATGGGCGGCAGCATTGTAACAAGGCTGTGTGATACAAAGTAAATACAAATACAAAAAGAGAAGTCCTGCGCTCACCCATCATTACTGGGCCGGCAGCAATGACTACAGTACACATCAGCCCCAATATATAGTAAAAACCTTGACGTTGGCAGGTGGGCATTCCCTCCAATGGCCATTGGAGCAACTAAATGACCTCCATTTGTCTAAATATACATAGGGATTAAGGAGAGAGCGCAGGTAACTTTTTCTTTTCTTTGGTTTTTACTCTATATTGGGGCTGATGTGTACTGTAGTCATTGCTGCCGGCCCAGTAGTGATGGGAGTGAGCGCAGGACTTATCTTTTTGTATCGTTATTGCACCATGACAATGAGAATATAAATAAGTAAAAAAAAAAAGGGGTGAGGGTTGGATATCCATTTGTGCCACTTTTAGCTCGACTGACAGGATAGAGATTGTGCTGCAGCATCATATTTCTCCCCAGCTTCACACACTTTTGCAGCCCTTGACCTGTACCCTATCCCCAGCAACAACGGTTTCAAAACTTGTGCTCAGCAACTAACACTCTGAACTTTTCTTAACTCCCTATGGCTAAATTAACTCTTTTTTTTTTTTGAAAACTGATTTTTATTTGTTTTATGCAGTGTACATACAACCGTGAGATTCGTAGATCTCTAAAGATAGAAGAAATTCAAAGACAAGTATATGGAGTAATCATAGTTCAATCACATGTGATGTGCATGGTTATTTGGGCTCGCAGGCTCACAATGTCGATGGACACACAGGTCCCTTATGGTGTTCCCTCTTTTGAATATGCAGCTTATATTGACGTTGTATACTGGGACTTAACAATGTTTCCTGCAGTTCTCTTTAACCCACATGGATGCAGTCAACATAAATATGTATAGTTTGTACACTGGGGAGGGTTACAGGACTCGTGCCACCCGGAATATCTCAATGTTTATCTTTATTCTAGATATATGAATTACAGGCTAATAGCATAAGCTTCGGTATGCTAAAAAAGGTGATATTCTTGGGTCTTGGTCATCGTCTTAGTAGCGCGTTAGTTTTCATGACTACTCTTAAAAGTTATCTTTTGCTTATGCTTATTGCCCGGTGGCTGGCTCTCCCCCCATCCCATACATGCTAGTATTCATTTCTTCTTTATTCTGTTTTGTCGCGGTCGAAGAATCTCCACCACTAAGGATAATATTCACCTGATTTAGTTGGAGATAATACCCTGTGTCCTTATGGCAGAGCCCGTATTCACCTGATCCACCTGTCAACTCCTCCATATTGCTGTTGTTTTTGATATTGGGGATAATATATTAGACTGCCTTGTTCCTATTTGGAGTGTATGTGGTGCAGGTTATGTAAGAGGATGAAGGTGTACGTTGTGTTGGTATTAATCCTGTTGTGTAATGTGTGTTATGTGCCCAGTTATCATCTATTCTCCTTGTGTTTGGGTGGCTAAATTCACACTTAACCTTATGATTGGATATATATATATATATATATATATATATATATTTATATATTGTGACAGAGTCTATGGGAGGGTAATAGAAGGAAGGTATTAAGGACCCAGATTCCTCCATAGCCTATACTCATTCACCTTCCCAATTAGCAACTGCTGAGGCTTTAATTAGCAGGTCTCAGAGCAGAAAGGGGGAGATACAATCTGACCTGCAGAGAGAGCAGGTCTGTGCTGTGCAGCACCAAACAAAGTGCTGAAGGTTGGTGAAACCAATGTTTATTTTGTTGAATTGTGTAGTTTATTACCCTGGTTTAGAAAGGGACATTACTTTATGTCTAGTTAGTGCTCGAATTTGAGCTAGGATTTTGTTTGTAGACTTTCTTTTCTGTTTTGCTGAAGTTTTGAACAAATGGATTGCTGCATGGATTTTTGTGCACAATGTAAATAAACCACACTATTTTTGCATAAGAGACTGTTGTTCTGTACCTGTTACCCTAGAGGACTGTGTTGCTTTGCCCTTAAAGGTCACCACACACACACACACACACACCCCCACACACCAGAACTTAGTGCCATTGGCATTTACATTTAAAGCGGCACTGTAATGCCGAACTTACCTTTTCCCAATCGATTCCTCTTCTCTCCCTCTCTCAGGATCTGTTCTTATTTTCTTCCTGTCTGCTCTAGTTTTCTTTAAAACTTAAGAAAAAGTAGGGACTATTTATCTTCTGGAGGTTTCCTACGCAGTGACCAGCGGAGGAGCAAAGTGTGCTTCGTTTCCGGTGGTCACAGCAATTTTCCCATGATCCTTAGCTTTCCTCCCTGTTCCCACGATGCCTCCTGTCAGTATTGCCGAACGTCCTGTCACTTGCGTTCTAACAGTTTCTCCATTCGTGGGGTGGGGGGGGGGAAGACACACCTGCTGTCCTCCCGCCGGCCCTGCGCGGTGGTTGGGGGCCATAAAGATAATATGGGGGGGACCTACTGTCCTCCCCCTGGCCCCCACCCCTGCGTGGTGGGTGGGGGCCATAAAAATAATGAGGGGGGTACCTACTGTACTCCCCACACCCCTGAGCGGTGGCCATAAAGATGAGGGGGGGTCCTACAGTCCGGCCCCCAACCCTGCGCGGTGGGTGGGGGCCATAAATTACAATGGGGGGAACCTACTGTCCTCCCCCCACCGGCCCCTACCCCTGAGCGGTGGGTGGGGGCCATAAATTACAATGCGGGGGGGGACCTACTGTCCTCCCCTCCCGGGAAGCTAACCAATCAGAGTGCTCTGTGTCACTTTACACAGCGTGGGAGGGGAGGACACGCTTAAACCAACCAATCAGTGTTCTTAGCCTAATTGCAGGGCAGGGCAAGGCTTTATAAGCCTTCCCCCGCCCTGCTTAGCTCAGTCTGCGTGGAGCCCTCCATGGGTGAAGATGGATTTATTTTTTTATTTTTTTATTTTCTTTTAAGTTTGACGGGTATGATGGTTTTTTTTTTATTAGGCCTTTTTTGGGACTGAAAAATGAAGATTTTAGAAAAAAGAAGACGTAAAATGGTAAGTTTAATTTTTTTTACAGGTTAGTTATTTTATTCCCCCCTTACTATTTTTTAGGGTGAGAGAGGTAAGTAGGGGGTAACTTTTTTTTTTATTTGGGTGGGGTGGGTGGGTCATTAGGGGCTTAGGGACCCCTAGTCACCTTTGATGGGGGGGGGATGGAATTTGTCTTAGGGCCCCCACCCGCCGCCCAGGGGTGGGGGCCTGGAGGGGGAGGACAGTAGGTCCCCCATTGTAATTTATGGCCCCCACCGCGCAGGGTGGGGGCCAAGAGGGGAGGACAGTAGGTCCCCCATTGTAATTTATGGCCCCCACCCACTGCGCAGGGGTGGGGGCCAGGAGGGGAGGACAGTAGGTCCCCCATTGTAATTTATGGCCCCCACCCACTGCGCAGGGGTGGGGCCAGGAGGGGAGGACAGTAGGTCCCTCCCCATTGTAATTTATGGCCCCCACCCACCACGCAGGGGTGGGGGCCGGGGGGGAGGACAGTTTCACGATTGGAGAAACTGTTAGAATGCAATTCGGCAGTTTTGCCGGCGTCCTGTCTAAGTGACAGGACGTTCGGCACTACTGACAGGAGGCATTGTGGGAACAGGGAGGAAAGCTAGGGATCATGGGAAAATTGATGTGACCACTGGAAACGAAGCACACTTTGCTCCTCCGCTGGTCACTGCGTAGGAAACCTCCAGAAGAGAAATAGTCCCTACTTTTTCTTAAGTTTTAAAGAAAACTAGAACAGACAGGAAGGAATGAAGAACAGATCCTGAGAGAGGGAGAGAAGAGGAATCGATTGGGGAAAGGTAAGTTCGGCATTACAGTGCCGCTTTGGTTTAGGAAAAAATATAAATAAAAATGCAAAGCGTGTTTTTTTCCAAATCAGTAGGTGAAAAAAGTTGCCCTGTTAATGTATAGGAAGTATATTTTTATGAATGGTAATTGTATGAATTATAGTGGTGTGTGGTTTTTTTTTTGTACTTGCATAACTTAATTTGATTAACAAACATTGTGGTTATTTTCCAGGCCCTATACCAGGCAGAACCACAGAAACTGGCAGAATTAATCAGAGATCTTTTGTACCATGAAAAAACAATCTTGTCCGAATTCCAGGACATGCAGGTGTGTAGTTTATCTCCATGCTCTAGAATTGAATGAAAAGTGATACTTGGACAAATGGCTTGATAACAGTGTTTTTGTAATTTGACAGTATCAACAAATCCTTTCTGCTTTTATACAAGAACACATAATTTTTACAATGCATCTAAAATGGTAATAAATTGGCAGGTGCTTATTTAAGACAATATGTATGAACCCTTTAAAGATGTAGGACTCATCCATGCTATCTAGAAAACATGGGGTTTTACAGGGACACCAGAACAATTACAGCTTATTGTATTTGTTCTGGTGAGTAGAATCATTTCCTTCAGGCCTTTTGCTGTAAACACTGTCTTTTCAGAGAAAATGCAGTGTTTACATTACATCCTAATGATAACTCCACTGGCGACTCCTCAGATGGCTTCTAAACAGGGCCGGCGCTACCTGTAAGGGCGCAACTAATGTAACAGGATACAGGTGTGTTCCTTTAAGCTGCTCCCCACCTCTACTACATCAACCACCGTGCTCACTCTTGCCAAATGCAGAGATCTTCTGACTATTGGCTGATGTAGTGAAGGTAGAGACAGGTAGGAAGTAAAACCGCTCTAATATGGTTTGACTACTTACATGGGGGGCGGTGTCAGACCACTATGCTATGTAGTGGTAATGGTTCATATAAAATGTCTCTTTAATGAAACGTACAATTTGAACTATGTTTTATCAGGCTAATTTCTAAAAGTGTGATTTTTTTTTTTTTAATTTATTTATTTATTTATTTATTTGTAAAAAAAAATTTTTTGGGGACTCAAAGTGAACGTCACAGTAGCCAAATGGGGATTGGGGGGAGAAACACCTAATTTCAACCAATTGCCAGATTGACTATTTTTACCTTGAAGGGAAACTATAGGTATGGAACCACTACAGCTTAATACAGTGTGAATACTGGCTTTTATGTGAAAGTCAGTGTTTAGTGGCTGTCCCATGGGCTTCTAAATTAGGCCCTGCAAAGATCAAAAGAACAAATTCAGGGTCACCACAATCTACATGGAAATGCTGAACACTCCCCATATAGATACATTGACTCACTGCATCTCTGTTATGAGATGCTGATTGATCACAGTACGCAAATATCAGTGGGTCCTGGAAGCAGTTCAGGCAGTAAGTACTGCAGCGAGCAGGTTAATCTTCCATGTTAAAATTAGTGTAGGACCCACGGATATTGGGGTACTGTGACATAGTGATGGACTTAACACAATATCGCCATATGGTGTAACTGAATCCCAATTTTTTTTTTTTTTTTTGCTAGTATAGGTGATTTTAAGTAGCTTCATAAAAATTTTTTTTTTTTTTTTAATTCTTTATTTTTCTTGTGCAGATGGTTACAGCAGGCCAGTAGAGCCACAATAGTATCTACAAGCAAATTTAAAGCATTTCATATTGTGGCTGTGTAGTCGGCACAATTTTTATATTTAGAAAATGAACAAGCTAAAACAACGTTTAAATAACATGCTACAATAAGTATGTTTTTAACAAAGCTAGGCACGCTTAAGGTTAGGTAGATGTGACTCATATGTAGTGCGACATGAGTGTCCCAAAAAACAGTGATAAGATTGAGAAGATTGACGAGTCGTCGAGCCAGTGATCACAGCTTCACATTACGTGTAGCAGATGTCAGTGGGTTAGGGCCCTGCCCGTTGTCAGGCGTGAGTTATACAGTGTAGGTAACGTGTGAGAAACAGTGGCTGTGCCGTGACACCTCAATTGTCACTTTCTTGGCTGCAGAGCAGATATAACTGGATAAAGCTCCCTGCCTTTGAGTCCACTGCCAAATACAGTTAAGCGGTGTACTAAGGGGAATAAAAATTGATAACACTATGTGTATGTACGTTGTGCATACTGTTGCGGACTTAGGGTGGCGGTATGCACTATATGTGGGAGGGCAGCCATGGCATCATGCCTTTTAGAAAAAAAAAAGAAAAAAATACGTTCCAAAAAACTATTTTAAGCTAAAGGTCGAAAACATAGGGAGGGTGTGTTGTCGTGTGAGTCCTATGCTAAGTAACATGCTAGGGGCATTTACTATGGATGATTATATAACCCATTCTTACACCTAGATGAGCATTTTGAGAAAGTCAAGTATATTAGTACCTGCTAAATTTGGCTTTTGTGCAAGCGTGGGTAGCGTTTACGTGTTCTGGTCATAGTAAGGTAGACAGACTATGCTATGGTAGTGGGTTTTAAGATAGTAATAGGGCATATGAATATACTGTACCCCCAGGATATAAGATAGGCATGAGTGTTAGAATAGATTTACTGTTGGCTTGGCCAATACTATGTTACATCCCTGGCATGGTACAATTCTATACGATCAGGTTAAGCAGTGCCCCGCAGGTTAACGGTATAATGTGCTCAGGATGTTGGGACCCATCTATGGTGCTGTCGGAATGCTCAGCTGTTGGTACAACTAAATGAAAGGGTTAGACCACGCTAATGCTAAAAACAAAACACATGAAAAGAGGCGTTTGTGTCTCTGGGCATTCAGCTAGTTACAGTATTATGGGAACGTCAGGTAGCTTGCTCTGCCTCCAGGCTGGTAGCCGGAACGTAGTTAGCTGCTGTCTTTCACTTGGTGCCCCCGGTGTGCTGCGGGGGATGGTCCAGTCTATGAACAGTGCATGTAACAGTTCGTACCGTCCAAGGTACAGCAATAAGTGAGAGGTGAAGAGCCTCAAGTCCTCATGTGGGTTCATGGTTGGCTCGTTGATAGAGCTGTTTGGGTGGATCTTCTCGGGACAAATGTCTCGGAGGTGGCTGGGTTCCATGTATGGGTGTTGGCGGGTTTGTTAGGCTGCTGCAGGGCATCTTGTGGGAGGCCCCAGGCCGCCAGGTGCCTTCTTGCCTCTGATAGGTCTGCTATTAGGTAAGTTTCGTCTCCATGAAGCACCTGTAGTTTGTGGGATGGGCGCCACTGGTATTTTATGCTGTGTGCGCGGAGTAAGGTGGTGAGTGGTCTGAGGGCTGCGCGCCATGTCATTGTTCCCCGTGACAGGTCCGCATAGAACGTGAGGGACATGTCCTCAAAGGCATACGGTGTGTTTCCCCTGGTGGCGGTCATTATTGCCATTTTGTCTTGACGTTTTTGAAACTTAACTATAATATCCCTGGGTGCCGTCACTGGGGCTGTCGAGGGTTTGGGAATTCGGAATGCGCCGTCTATGCTTATGCCTTTGGCCTGCTTCGTGGGAACCATCGTGCTTACCAGGCGTCGTATAAGGTGAGGCACCTCGGCGTCTGATATGGAGTCCGCTATTCCCCTGATCTTGAGGTTTTGGGCACGCCGTGCATCTTCCATCGCCGCCATTTTGTGTTCCACCTGCAGGTGCTGTTGTTGCAGGGAGACCACGTCGCGCTGCAGCGTGGTAAGTTGCTGTATGTGGCTCTTGGAATCTCGCTCCACGATACCCATACGGTCCGACAGGCCCTGGATGTCTTTCCTCATATCCGCCATGTCGGTCTGGATGCCTCGACGGAGCTCCGCCAGCAGCTCCCTCATCTCCTCCTTCGTGACCGGAGCAGTATCCGACTGTGTCTTGGGCTGTGTCAGCGTTCGTGTGGCGGGTAGGGTCACCTCTTCTTGGTCTGAGGTTAGGTCATCCGAGTTAGTGAGGTCGTCCACATAGTCTGCATAATCCGCCATGTGAGGCTCTTGGGCCCCATGTGCTCTCCGCCATAGGTCCCCAATACTTGCGCCTGGTCGTGGCATGTCCGATTTAAGTTTTTTGTTCTTCTTGCCCATTGCTACCTGGCTTGTTGGGGTAAGCAGCCTGTTTCTGTTGTGTTTGGGGGGTGATAATTGTGGAATTTGTCCGTAAAAACGCTTTGGTTTCTCGGAGCTCGCTGGAGTTGCGACCGCTCGGTTCAGTAGTTGGCTCCGCCCCCGCTTCATAAAATTTTAAACTGGATTTATTTTGTGCGCTGTTCCCTAATCTGTATTTTGAAACTGAAACATTGTCACTGCCAACGGGGGGCGATAGGAATAGTTCACCCTGCGTGACGAGAAGGGGGGGGGGAGGGGTACACAGAGTAACTCCCCATTACATTTTTTTGCATGAACCCAAATAGAAGATTGAATTACTTCGTAATATGACTGACCATGTATGACTGTAGGTGAATGTTTGTGACTGTGTGTAATTGTGTAATTATGTTGTGACGGTGTATGATTGTGTCTGTGCGTGGGGGAGGGCTAGCTCTCACTTGCCCTCTCCATTTTTAATTCTTCATGTTTACATCAACTGCTCTCATACATGCAAAACTTAGCCATAGTCTTACATACACATATATTTTTGCCTCCCTCACTCACTCACTCACACACACACCCACACACACACACACACGTGCACACATATGTACAGTAGGTTTCTAAATGATTTTGTGGTTATTGTGGTTTGGTAATCAAGAGACTATTAATTGAATATTAATAATTTTTGATGTACATTTATTCTTCAATAGTTATTTTGATAATTGAACAAGATGTCTGCACCACCAGCACAAAATAAATTGTCTGGTGCTGCTTTACAAAAGAAAAGAAGGCTCCAAGAAGAAGACATTTCTAAGATGGCTGGATCATTAAATAGGTTCTTTAAACATGATCCAGTACAAAAAGCTGTAAGTGAGTTGGAGTGCAAAACTAAAGAGAATCGTGAAGCTGAAGAACTCGAACCACACCCTTCTACTTCAACTGTGGGTGAACATTCTTTGGGCGTAGAAAGTGATACAAACACAGAAGAAGAGAGTTCACAGAAATCAGCATCATAATCAGAAGATGAAAATGGAGAAAGCACGCTGGTAGACTTCTTTGATCCAGCTGACTGGCCTGATACGCTTACTAGCTCACTAAAAGAAACCATCGTTATGAAAGGTCCGGCAAAGCCAAAAGAGCACTTTTTGTATTTCCTAAAGATGCATCCAAGAGACGGTTTACATAAACCCACTATAGACGGCGCTTGGAAATGGTGAAGTGCATGTTAGAAAGTGGCTTAGTTATTCTCCTAGACTGGACAAAATATTTAGCTTTTGTTGTAAACTCATTACAACTACGAAAATTAACCTGACAACAGGAGGCTACAACAATTGGAAAAATGTATCCCAGTGTCTGGCTACACATGAAGTGTCTCCATCTCACCTCACTGCTATGGGAGACTGGACAGAACTGTTAACAAGGCTTGGGTCAGGAAGTACTATTGACCATTCATACCAAAGATTATTGGCAACTGAAACGCAGAATGTTCTTCAAAGGCTTGTAGCCATTGTTCAATACATTGGGAAGCAGTGCTTGGCCTTCAGGGACAGCAATGACACACTGTACTCTGAAAACAATGGAAATTACTTTAAACTTGTAGAAATGATGGCAACATTTGATAGTGTGATGCAAAGCCACGTGAAAAAGATACAGAATTCGGAAATTCAGCATTATTTAGGAAAATACATTCAAAATAAACTAATTGGTTTAATTTCAAAAGAAATACAGAGACGCTTTCTGCGGTTGCTTAAGGATGCCAAGTATCATTCCATTATACTTGACTGGACCCATGACATCACTCTTGTTGAACAGATGATTATGATTTTCAGGTTTGTATCTGTTAAGCAAGGAGACTCGCCAACTGCAAATCCTGAAATACACATTGAGGAAAGATTTCTTGGTTTCCTGCCAGTTCACAACTCATCTGGAGAAGGATTAACAGAGGCAATTTTGAATGAGCTTGAAATGCTGAAGTTACCTCTCAGTGATATGAGAGGTCAGGGGTATGATAATGGCTCCAACATGAAGGGAAAGCACTCAGGAGTACAAAAAAGTATCATGGACCTGAATTCACGTGCTTTCTATGTCCCCTGCAGTGCTCTATCCTTAAATCTTGTAGTAAATGATGCTGCTATGTGCTGTAGAGATGCCAGTAAATTTTTTGGCATTCTTCAGAAAATATATGTGTATATGTGTGTGTGTGTGTGTGTGTGTGTGTGTGTATGTATGTATGTATGTATATGTGTGTAAATTTTTTTTTTTTTTTTATCCGGTTCAACAAATCGATGGGATGTTCTAAAAAAACCCCCAAAAAACATGTGAGTAAGCTGACAGTTAAGCTCCTATCCGATACTAGATGGTCAAGCAGAATTGATGCTATTCGGCCATTTAGGTTCCATGTTGAAGTGTATGACACCTTGAAGCCTCAATTCTTGCAAGAGCAGCAAAATTCACATCACATTAACCTAAACCGGAGGTGATGTGAATTTTGCTGCTCTTGCAAGAATTGAGGCTTCATCCTTGGCAAAAAAGTTAAAAAAGTTTAAAGTCTTGTGTTTTATCATCCTTTGGTTTAACATACTAAGTCGAATTAATTCTGTCAGCAAAGTTCTTCAAAGCCAGTCATTGTGCTTGCTAGATGTTGTGGAACTTTTGGAATCAATCAAGACTTTTTTTTCAATCTTATCGGACAGATAATGGTTTTGAGGATTTACTTAAAGAAGCAGGAGAGAAAGCTGTGGAAATGGAAATAGACCCTGTGTTCCCCCCTCAAGTGCATCAGACGCAGGAAAAAAGGTTGTTTTTTGTATGAGGTTCCAGATGATCCTATCTTAGATCCTAAAAATAAATTTAAAGTGGAATGTTTCTTCACAATATTAGATACAACAATAAAATCTGTACATGAAAGATATGAACAGCTGAAATTTCATTCCACGCATTTTCAATTTTTGTATGACATCCACAAGCTAAAAGATGTGCAAAAAGAAGAACTCCTGCAGTTCTGCATGGAATTGCAGAATGTCTTAACCGATGCAAAATCAAAGGAGTCTGATGAAGATGGAAGGCAACTATGTGAAGAACTTGCTGTATTGGCTCCTGTTATAAAACCTACGATGATACCTGTTGATATTTTGGCCTATGCAGTGAGGAATGGATTTGCTCCAAATGTGGCAATTGCACTTTGAATTATGTTGACCTTACCAATAACTGTTGCCACAGGTGAGTGAAGCTTTTCAAAGCTAAAAATTATAAAATATTATCTGCGTTCTTCAATGTCCCAACGGCTTGTGGGACTTGCCATGATATCAATAGAGGATCGGACGGCCCAGGAGATTGACTTTGAATCATTACTAAAGGACTTTGCGAATGCCAAAGGAAGAAAAGTAACATTTATTTAGCTAGCATAACTGTTAGAAAGTATTTAAGCTGTTTACAAAGTTGTTGAAGCTGTTTACAAAGTTGTTTAGCACTTAAATTGTATGCTGCATTTATATATTTATTTTTCTATGTGTCTGGAGTTCTTTGAATGACCATACCATTTCTATTGTTGCACTTATATTATGCAAGTATGCCACTATAATAAAAATGTGTGGCATGTATTTTTCTCTTAACAACTGTATGTTGTATTGCACTTTCATAATGTTTATGTATTAAACTATTTAAATTCGCACTTTATTTTACATTATGGCCTTTTGTGCAATTTCTCAGTGTTTTGAACCAAAAGCTACAGGGTTATTCACTAAAATGAGAATTTAAAGTGAATTCTTAATTTAAGGTCAAAGTAGCTTAAATGAAAGCATAACTGACGTAGATAATTTTTACAAATCAGTAAATCTGTTTGCACTAAAGAACTAAATTTGGGTAAGAAACCATGAAGTTACCAAATTAACAAACAACCGAACAATCTAATACACAGGCTTGTTGCTTTAGCAATGGCTTAAGTTATGGTAGTTATTCTCCACAATTCTAAATAGGGGGCTTAATTGCAACATATAAGTCTTTTTTTAATTTAAATGTTGAGAAAGGGGTGGGACATATGTGATGTCATGATATGGGCAGATCATATGGGTTTGTGATGTCACATCGTGGGCCGAGCATATGGGTGGGCGTCAATTTTTATTTTGCCTAGGGCGGCAAAAATCCTTGCACCGACCCTGCTGCTAAAGGCTGTTTCCTGGAGCAGTTCTGCACAGTGCGCAGCACTGCCATTCAGTGTCTCCACCCTCTGCATGCAGACACTGAGCTTTCCTCATAGAGATGCATTGATTCAATCCAAGCATTGTGATTGGCTCAGAGCACCACTTCTGATGTCAGAAACATAGAAACATAGAATGTGACGGCAGATAAGAACCATTTGGCCCATCTAGTCTGCCCAATTTTCTAAATACTTTCATTAGTCCCTAGCCTTATCTTATAGTTAGGATAGCCTTATGCCTATCCCACGCATGCTTAAACTCCTTTACTGTGTTAACCTCTACTACTTCAGCTGGAAGGCTATTCCATGCATACACTACCCTCTCAGTAAAGTAATACTTCCTGATATTATTTTTAAACCTTTGTCCCTCTAATTTAGAAGCAGACAGGGACAGGGACAGTAGCTGCAGATTTTAATACAAGTAAGATTTCACTAGATTTAATGAGGCAAGTGATGATTCTAACACTATAGGTCATGAATACATGTTTGTGTTCCTGTTTCTTTAATATGGTTAGGACTGCAAGGGATGCCCTTTAGAGTGAGTTTTGCTAAATTTCTACTCACAGTGGGGAAACCCAGGTATCTATCGATAACTGGGACTCCTCTCTTTTATCTGGCCATATTTAGTAGTCGTTGCACACAGCCCTTAAATCCTGTGGTTGAATGGTCACATTTAGCCACTGTGATTATCTTGGAATCCTAGGGGATTCACAGGTTCTCTGTGACAGAGCAAGACCCTCAAGGTCCTGATGAGGTCTCCTTGCATGTCTCATCTGTTGACAGTGATCAGCACTGGGCTGTGCAAGCTGCCCAGCACTTATCACTATATGATTCACAGGGACAGCATGTAGGAGCTGCATGTCGATCTCCTTCTGCTGCAAACACACAGTACAGAACACTCTGTACTGTATAAAGTGTGAAATTCCTCTGCTATTGTTAGGATTGTGTAGGGGTGGTGTTTGTGTGGAATAAGGATTAATGCGGGTTAATGATAGTGTAGGGTTAAGGTTAGGGATATGTGTACTGTTACAGAATGCATAGTGTTAGGGGTAAGATTAGTATAGAGGTAACTACCAAAACTTTAATTTAGATGTAGGCAACCTTTGGCACTGCAGATGTTCTAGATTAAATGTCTCATAATGCTCTTGCAGCCATAATACTTGCAAGGCATCCGTACCACCATAATACTGGCAAGGCATCAGTACAGCCATAATACTGGCAAGGCATCATGAGAGAGAGTCCACAACATCTAGACATATGAGGCATTTAACAAATCTGTTTACATTTTTTTTTTCATTAGTTGCACTTGATGTGTAAAAATTATTTAAGTAAAAATGTGTAAAAAAGATTAAATTAAGAAGGAACAAACACAAATTTCAGATTTTGTTTGGTTCAGAAGTTGAGACAATTGCCTCTTTAAAGAGTGTCACATTTGATGGCAAATTAAACCCTAAGGAATTGTGTTTTAATACTAAGGTAGTCACATTATGTAAGTGCTGTTTACTGAGTTTTCAGGGACAGAGGCTTAGCCCTGGCTAGGCCTCATGTATCCAGCAGACCACTCCCCCTGTGAGAGAGTTAGGTCAGACCCCTAGCTTCTAAAGGGGGTACCCAGGGATATAACTCTTACATATGTGCTGTTTGCTGGGTCTTCAGGCTGGCAAAATATGGGCATGGTGAGCATAATGTTTAAAAACTAGTCCTGCTTAAGCAGACTCCTTCCAAGCTGCTGTGAAGGACACGAAAAATGACTGCATGATGGGGAGAGGGTGGTTCTATTTATAGAAATCTCAGAGTTCTATTTCCTGTCCTATCTGCTGTGAGGGGAGTAGCTAGTCATAAGTAAATACTGCCATGTTTGATAAGGAAGTTAGCAAGTTAGCATCAAATATGCAAATGCACAACAAGGTACTAGATGCAGACCTCCTAACGTCCCTTGACATGTCCCACACACCATTCTGTCAATAACATAACTTAAGTGGAAATTTCTGTGCTTATGAAGTGTAAAGGAGGCATCAGGTTGTAGAATTTAAGATGATGGTATGTGCGACCCATTTAGAACAGCGAAGGTGGTTACATCATACGTTTGTAGCATATTGAGGCACTAGTTAGTTCAGCCTTAGTCCGTACGCTATCCATCATGTAACACCCTCTCCTTCAGTGATTAGTTATATTATTAAAGGGTTACCTCAAGCACCACAACCACTTAGTGTATTAAAGTGGTCATGATGCAAAGAAAATATATTGGCTGCATTTCAGGGCTTGCTAATTCTAATTCTGTGCATAAGGCTTACAAAGCGTTCATTCAATAGCTAAAATAATTCATCTGATGCTTGAGCCAATTAATGATTGGCTCAGCCACCATTTTCGGAGGTCCAGTATAAGTGGCACACCATTCTAAAACGGTTTGCCCCCTTACTGAGGAATGACAGCATTCTATTAAACTGCTGTGGTTATGATAATTGGAGTAACCCTTTAAACTTGATTTAATTTTAAGTTAAAAGAACCATTGTATTTAGTAGGATTTTTCTTATCTTTCATTGGGAATGCATGTTGTGTGAATTTGATAACGTTTTTTATTATTCTTAACCAAAAAGTAATTTATTCTTTCATAATATGTACACATAATTGGATTTTCTACAGTACCAAAGTGCAAACCAGAGCTGTAAGATTGGATCCTGTTGAAATGTACCTGGTTAACGGCTTCTTGAATGACAATTTGTTTTCCCTCAATGTGTATTATCGTATGTCCAATAGCATTCTCTCCATCTTTACAGTCTCAAGCTGAGAAGCCAGTACAAGTTCCTATGGAGGTTGGGCAGAATTTTGAGATTGAACTGCGAGTCAGTAAAGTAAAGGAACATGCACAGGTGAGTTGTATCTGCCACCTATTGTTGTGTGGAGAAAGTAATAGTTTTGGTTGTCTGTACTGACAATGGCGAAAAAACTTCAAATACCTGAGAATTGTCAACCCAGTTTGAAAGGGATTAACAGGAAGTCTAGAGTCCATGTAAATAATCAAAACCGTGCCGCAGTGTACACTGATTTGCACTGCATTTTTTCTCCCCTTTCATTTATTTATGTAGAAATAACATGTTTGATACACTGAATACATTGAGCAAAGAGAATGACAGAAGTTAATTGACAGGAACAAAAGGATACAACATACAGAGGGTACTGAGATCCATGTGTGTAAGTATAGATTCTAATGGGGAATGGGATAGGTTAGATACGAGGTGCAGAAAGTGTGGAACAGGCCATAGTATATGTGATGGTAGGTACTTTTGGTGAGATTAAAGGTACTATTCGTTCATTAATAATGTTAGTAATAATGTAGAATTTCTTCTTGAGGAAATGTTTAAGAAAGTGAGGGTGATGGGTTCCAGAGATGCAGTGTAGATCGAGAAAAGACTTGTAAGCAAGAGAGGGAATATTAAAATTTTTTATTTATTTTTTTGTCAAAAGCAGTGGATTGACCAAGTATGGAAGTACTTCACTTGCGTATCAGCACTTTATTATACGTGCCGCTACGTAAGAGGGAGACAATATTTTATTCTTGAGTTTATGAATTAGCAAGTAGGTTCAGAGGTTCAGGCAATTGAAATCTGCTCACAAGACCGTACAAGTTCAGATATGGCCCATTCGTTTGATTTAGTGTACTCTACACATGTCTCCATAGTTGTTCTCTAAAGTTGGGGAGGGATGGTTGGCTCTCAAAGTGTTTATTTTTTTGTGAGGATTCTGAACATTTTCTATGAAGTGTAGACACAAACTTGTAATGTCTATGTGATATATCCTGTCTAAGAAAGCTTTACACTAATCTGTTCTATGTCTGTTGCAGTTGCTAGATCATGCAGTGAAGTTTTTGGAGGATCAGCAGGAAACATTTGACTTCAAATACAAAACCTTTCAATTACTTGGTGAGTATTTTGATCATCAGGAAAATTGTGTCAATATTTGCTGACATGACTGGGCAGGTGCTTGCATATCATCCTTATTACCTTTACCTAATTGATTTGGATTTAAATGAGCACATATCTAAAACTGATGCAAGAGCAGAGGTGATACATCTTTTCTCAAATATATTAGAAGCTAACAGGAGCCATGGGGAGCAGTATTTGAAGCCCAAGAGAACTGAACTTCAACAACAACTCAATGAGCTGGACCGAAAACGCAAGGTCAGATTGGGTGAAATATTAAGTGAGATTTTTTTCGACTATTTTTACAGTAACAGGCTGTATTATCTTGTTTACCCATGATTTTTGTGCCTGGAGCGTTACAGGGATATTTTGTCAAAGCAAATTAAAACTTTTTTTGTCAGTTATGATGTTAAAAGGACACTAAACAATATAACTACAGCTCTTTGTACTGGTTACAATGCTTTGAGTATATGGATACTTCCTCCAGGTTTTGTTCTGGAGCATTATGACAAAAACAGGGCTCCCCATGAGCCTCATAATAACCACCTCTGCACCCTAATTAATATTTTGGATATTACACTTCTGTATTATCAAGTATAAATTCATCCTATGCCAATGATAGACTGAGAGCAATGGCATAATCTATCATCTATCTGCACTTAAAGGGACACTATAGTCACCAGAACAACTACAGCTTAATGTACTTGTTCTGTTGAGTATAATCATTCTATGCAGGCATTTTCATGCAAACACCTTTTCGGTGTTTACATTGCCCCTAGGGACACCTACAAGTGGCCACTCCTCAGATGGCCACTGGAGGTGCTTCCTGGCTCAGTGCTGCACAGTAGGAAGCTCTGCCGTTCAGCGTCCCCACGCTCTGCATGGGGACGCTGAATTTTCCTCATAGAGGTGCGTTCAACCAAAATATATGGTTTTATGGGGGTAAATTACATTGGCCGGCTTAAAAAATGTCCCAAATAGGACATGGGTGCATGATGACCAGCTGAGAAAATTCCAAGTTGGAAAACTGGAATGCGCACCCTCCAAATAAGGTATTTTAGCCCTCATAGAACCCGACACACCTATACATGGGGAGTATCACTGTACTCAGGAGATGTTGCTGAAAACTTATTGGGGTGTTCTTTGGCAGTAACCCTTAAAGTTCTCTGTACATGTATTCTTAAATTGCTTTGTGTGTCAAAAAATCACCTATTATTATTATTATTATTATTATTATTATTATTATTTTTTTTTTTTATTTGGTAAAGATTGGTGGGAAAATGGTTACATGAAAAGAGTCAAAAGAGTTTTTTGTTTAGTTTTTTCATTATATTTTATAAAAAATGTTTTATACTAAATTATATGAGTAAAAGGAAAATTACAGCAAACACTGCAGAAATGTAAAAACAACCCTGGTCCCAAACGATAAGAAAATTGAAAAGTGGTCTGGTCACTAAAGGGTTAAACACCAATAATACACACAAATGTATATCTGCATTTAAAATCCAACACTACATCCAAACATCACATAAAAACACACCCTTTATTAATATGCTAAAATTATATACAAACACTAACGCTACACACAGAAGCACACATGCTCCTAAGTACTACAATCTGATTACTATCTTTAGAAATTAGTGAATATATACCAATGAACAAAATATACCAAAAAAGAAAACATTGCACACTGTTAATTAAAAAGCTAGTGTTACACCGCAAACTTTGTTGGCTTTTTTTTTTTTTTTTGGAGGAGGGGTGTCCCACGATTTTGGTACACTATGTCAGTGGGTTCCACAGGAAAAATTAAATTGTATAATGCTTCTATTTTGCACCTTTGACTTTAGGTTTGCTGTAAGTATACTATTTGTACTTGAGGCTGTACTAATTACCCTTTTGTTTGTCTTCTTTAAGGAGGTCTTAGACCAGATGAAGGAGCTGCTAGGGTTGTGTGAGACTCTATTAAAATTTCTTGAGAAGGAGCTGGAGGAATGGCTTATGAGGCTAAAATTGTCCTGTATTGGAGCCCCCCTGAATACCTGTCTTGAACAACTTGAAAAATGGTTAGTATGAATACAAAACAATGTCTTCCACTAGTAAGCAGTGGGAGTCATAGTATATCATCATAAACAAGCTTATTTGCTAAACCGGTAATTAAGGAGAAAGGACGAGAGAATTGCAAGTTTTAGGCTAAAGTAGCTGAATTGTAGCCCTTGTGTTTTTACCTAAAACATGTATTTCTCATATCATTTCTAAACATTTCCAGATTAGCGACTAAATCACAAAGAAAAAGTAGACCTGATAGCTAACGTGGTACCATCTCATTTTTATTTTAGAGTGATACAATTCTTTAACCCCTTAAGGACACATGACATGTGTGACATGTCATGATTCCCTTTTATTCCAGAAGTTTGGTCCTTAAGGGGTTAAAAAAATAAAAAAATCTTCCTAGTATTTTTTGGAATAAATGCTTTTACTTTACCATCACATTGTCTGAAAATTTTAAATTGGATTTAATTTTAAATTGAGTAGAACTAACTAGTGAATTAATGTAAGGTTGGCAGGTAAGAGAGAATTTCTTTTGTCAAATGGTTTTATTTATTGAGGCTTCTATCCAATCCATATGGAATAGGAAGGAAATTTTCCTGTGGAGTAATTATAGTGGAGAAGGGGATGGCATGATCCAATGGTGTAATATACTTTTAAATGCTGCATCAAAGATCATATGGGCCAAGTTGGAAGGTCTTGACTCCTCTGTTAACCCCAATGTTGCTATCGACTATGAGAAGTTCCCCTGGAGCACATAAAATCATGTCAAAAAAGTAATGTTTCCACTACGATCCCAGACCTCCAAGTTTGACAGTTTACTGTACAGACTTTGAACAGGCACCATGCTGACGAGACCCACAAGGTCTAAACTGTACAGTCCATGGCTGGTTTCTAGTCACTGATCTTTTTGAATCATAACCCATGATTTTTAAACGGTTAAAAAGCTTTTGGATCAAACCGCATCCATTGCTAATGGTATCTGCATAAATGCATGATGAAGTCTGAAACATGATGCCTGTCTTTGGACATTGACATGTCAAGCATTAAACCCTGGGATAGTCGTGGAAATATAATTTCTTGAGTTTCTGTGCCTAAAGGGAATTTCTTAAAGTCCAACTTAAGATCTGTAGAGGTGATGCACAGAAGTAGTTTAGAACTTTTTTTTTTTTATGTGAGGTCTCACCACTAATGTTTTGGGACAAACACCCACCCACCCACCACCCAACCTTCTCCCCATTCCCCCTACATTGTATCCCTTTTACTCTATCCACCTTGTTAAATGAACCATAATTAATGTCCTTTTTTGGAATAAATGCTTTTACTTTACCATCACATTGTTTTGCCACAGGGTGACAAAGTTGGTTGAGGTTTTCTTCCAGATGCGGCTCCTTCTGAAACTTCTCAATGAGCTTCATTTACGTTTGACATATGAGGGCGATCCTCTGAAAACAGACCCTCCAATCCTGGAGGAGAGACTACTCGAGTTGCTGTGCTGTCTTCTGAAGAAGTAGGTGTCCCATGTTGACTGCTTTGTGTTTTTTAATTTTAATAATACAGGGTCTGGTGTGATGTGTTAATATTCATTTAAATTGTATTTGTACCTCCATTAGCATAAACTGATTAATGGGTATTTCATTCTGTGACAGAGGTATTAATAGTTCAGCCTATTCTCTCGGTAAAACCATTTGGTAATCTGCACTGTTGAATCATTCAGAAGATTTAAATAAATTGTACCTTCAGCATAAACCATTATTCTGTGTAATGGTACACTTTACCTGGACCTCATGTGTCCTCACCAAGATAAATAAGTTGTATAAATTGGTTCACATTAGAGATACCATATTTTCTTTTGTTACAGCAGTTGTTTGGTACTGGTAAACGATTCGATAAAGTGATGACATAGTAATGAAAGGGGTCTTGGAGAGAAATGTTTTACTTACGTTTGCCCAAATTGAAAATGTATATCAGAATATCTCCCACTTATCATTTATTTTCTGTATACAAATTGCAGCTTTGCATAGATAAGTACGTTGGGTACAAAAAAATAGGTTATATGTGGCAAACTGTCCTTAAAAAAAATATATTTTCTGAAAGTTGGAATTGTATATAGTATAATAGTATCTTTCACACGGTAATACTTTTTTACATAATAAATGTAGTTATTAAAAATTCAAGTCTGCTGGAGAAATGCGTTTTATTGTTTTAGATGCAATTTTTTTTATTTTTTATTTTATTATACATTTCTAGTTCTCTTGCCATTGACTAGGCTTCATTCTTTTTCCACATTCAATCAATTAGGGCTTTTGTAGTGGACAAGCAACCAATCATGGCTTATCCATGCAGACGACCTTTAGTATTGAAGACCGGTCCTTCTTCATTCTCTGTGAGAGCCAGGTGAGCTTTGATTGACTTGGGCATCACATTAATATAGAGGTGGTGTGAAGCAGGAATCAATAGGGTAGGAGAGTATGTTTATTAACGATTCTAAAAATTGTTGGGAATTAACCAGGGAATTAAAATTTTAGGCCAAAACAGCCCAGTTGGGGAAATAAGTTGGCTAAACTTGCAATTACCTGTTATATTAGTTGTATATGTACATGGTTTTGAAAAAAGTATTGAGGAATGACTTGGAGTTAACTGTAGTCTGGGAGTAATTGATCTTTTTATTCCAGAAGTCACTTACAAGATTATTGTCTGTATTTGGATCTGTGTTCTTAATTGTACGTCTTTTTATTTTCAATCCTTAGGCTTCTTGTGAATTTGCCAGAACTGAGACATAATATGAAGGTTTCCTATGTAATGGATAAGTAAGTCTGTTTTGTGTTTTTTTTGTTTTGTTTTTTTTTAGTTAAAATTCTAACAGTTTGAAATCTTCAATTCTTACTGCATTCAACGGATTCTTAATATCTTTTCACTGATCCTTTTGAATCATAACCCATGATTTTTAAATGGTTTAAACGCTTTTGGATCAAACCATATCTATTACTAATGGTACCTGCATAAATGCATGATGAAGTCTGAATCACAATGCCTGTCTCTGGACATTGACATGTCAAGCATTGAACTCTGGAATAGTCGTGGAAATATAATTTCTTGAGTTTCTGTGCCTAAAGGGAATTTCTTAAAGTCCAACTTAAGATCTATACAGGTGATGCACAGAAGTAGTTTTGAACTTTTTTTTAATGTGAGGTCTCACCACCAATGTTTAGGGACACACACCCACCCCACCTTCTCCCCATTCCCCCTACCTTGTATCCCTTTTACTCTATCCACCTTGTTAAACGAACCATAATAAATGTCCTTTTTTGGAATAAAAGCTTTTACTTTACCCTCACATTGTTTTGACACAGGGTGACAAAGTTGGTTGAGGTTTTCTTCCAGATGCGGCTCCTTCTGAAACTTCTCCATGAGCTTCATTGACGTTTGACATATGAGGGTGATCCTCTGAAAACAGACCCTACAATACTGGAGGAAAGACTACTCGAGTTGCTGTGCTGTCTGCATTCTTCTTATTTTGAATGCAGTTTTGTTACACAGACAAAATACTCTGTGTACGGGGGCGGGGACTGACCGCGATGCTGACCGGTCGGATGCCACAGAGACTCCTGCTGAATTTAAGCTACGCGGCAGAAATTGTGAAATTACCGCTAATAATTGGATGGAGTAGTTCGTTAAAGTACACAGGAGAAGGTTGGTGCCACAGTAGACTCCAGGATCAGGAGTTTTGTGGTACGAAACTTTGAAACCTGTGGCCCACTCGGAAGAGGAGCAGGACAAGCATCCGCTCCCCTGCTCGCAAGCCTGGCTGCCACACTACAGATCTGTGATACACCTCGCAGGCCCCGGTTCCCCCCCCCCTTGGGCAGGGGGGGTTATCCCGGTCCCCACTGGAGGGAGCCGATGTTTAGCAACATACATCAGCAGGGCCCGCAACATGGCGGCCTCAGGGCCCTCATCGGGCGCGACCACACTCACTGCTTGCAGGCAGCATTACAATCAGATGCTTTACCTCGAATCTCTGGACTATTGCAGTGGAACTCTTCTATCACCCGACAGAGTAATTTTGGCTTACCTAGCCTCAGTACACAGAGCTTGGGTCTGGTCCCCATGACATCCTTCCTGAGCATTGAGCCCCTAGAGGACATTCCTTGAACCGCAGGATGGAACACACTTGCCAGGAATCCCGTTGTTGGCCAATAATGGTACCGGAACCGAGGGCGCAAGTTGTCGGCTCACACAGAGCCCGGGGCTGGTGTTTACTGGTGTTTACCAGTGGTGTTTACTAACTTCAGCTATCCTGTTTACACTAATTTGTTTTTCTTAATGCGGGCACTGCTCCGCATATTGATGTCCATCTTCAATGTTTTGGTAATTAATACCTGTGCACGCAGTCATATCAATACTGTAAACTACTCAGCACTTACCACTGTATAGCAGGAATTACCGATTTACTTAATACTGCAGCTTAGCCTGATTCAGAGATAGACCATCATTGTATAGCATGTCAGCGTTTATCGGCTAGCACAGCTTACATAGAAAAGGGTGATTTACAGTGCATTCCATGCTTACCGATGTAATCTCATAGGCCCAGCATACCCTCCATGCCCATTAATACAGCTAAATATCTAAGATGACTGTGCCTGCCTAGTCAGCCTGTATCACATTAATACTTAAAAAATTAGGTTGTTTAGATCAGGAGTTATTTACATATTGTTTTTAGTACATTATATCCTGTCATCTAAAGATATGTATTAACTTTAATTCCTTTCTTCTGTACTACATTAACTATAGCTCAATAAAACTCGATTGACCAAAAAAAAGAAAAAAAACTTTGTGTACGTGTACAGCTTTTAGTAGCATGCGTGCATGAAAATAGTTTGAGTAGGTTGCAAAGAAATGAAAAAAGAAAGCAGATACAGAGGGAGATGATGTAGACATATGTTATATTTTATGATGAGCTCGGTAGATCAAATATACACTATTTGTTTCTACTATGTTGAAGTTGTACTTTTGCTACAGAATTGTAATTTATTTTTTTTGTAGATCGTAAATAATACTATTCTCAGAGTGATGTAGAATTCTATAAACCTAAGTACATAATGTACCTACATTAAATTTTTTTTAAATATTCAGTTTGTGCACTTCACCATGACAAAATAACATGGAGGGACAAAGTCATTGGGTATGGCTTTTAATCATAATTCCAGGTGTCCCCCCGGTCCCATTCATTGGCAGTGGTTGAGGGCCCAAATTATAATAATTAGAATATTCATCTCCCACCCATGGACAGCAGGTGGAGGCTCTAATGAAACAATGGGTGGATATTGGCATGTCTGTGGTGAGCCCTTGAAGGGCAATGATTGATTAATTTACTTGCATCTTTTAGAAGGTTTGGCTAAGGGATTGCCACCTGGGGGAAACCATGATTAGTCCTTCCTCTTGAATATTAATATAAGGGCCCCCACCCACTGCCTTTGGGGGGAGGGGTGACGCTCTCCCCCCTTCTTATATTATAATAGCACCCACCTGCTGATCACAGGTGTCGCCATGTTTGACATAAGGATGTCCCCTATTTATTTTATTTGATCTGTGCATCCCTTGCAGCCCTTGTCATTTCACCTTTTCTAGTGACTGGACCGCAATGGCTTTCCATTTGCTACTTTTAACAAGTTGGTAGATATGCAGGAGGTGGGGGCCTAAGGAGGTTTAGTATTAAGGGTGTAATCGTTTTGGCTGAATTCAAGCCCGAAGTTGAGTCTGTCAGTCTGGCTGAAATTTTTACCAAATTGTTCAGAGCCTGTATTGCCAAATCCTGCCAATGTTAAATGTTTGGACTTTAGTGACTAACTCCATAGGTGTCTGTAGCAATGTGCAATCTGAGATTTAAAAACCTAATCTGCCTATTGAAAAATAAATAAATAATATAACCCCGCCCCTATAAGGTTCGTTTGAAATCCATAAATATGTTACCGCACTTGCATATATTGGCAGTTTTTTCACATATTGCTTAATAAGAGTCTTTAAACTAACTTTACAAGGAACCTACAAGGTTTGTTTGTAATCCATGAATATGTTACTGCATTTGCGATTTCATGTATTAGCAGTTTTTTCACATATTTCTTATTAAACAAAAATCTTTAAACTAACTTTTTTTTTCTGTTATTCTTTGTAGGAATCCCCCAGACATCAAAGGGTAAGCAATTAACCTATTATTAGTCATTTGTCTTCTGTAACTAGATTTAATAGCAGTATATTAAATCTTTGTGTTCTTCTCCCTCCTATCATTGAAAGCCTGAGCGTTTTTAATGTGATACGGCTAATGATTGACTTTCAAATCTTTCCTCCTACAGATATCGCAAGTTTAATGTGCTTGGAACACCACCCAAGGCAATGGAGGATTGCCAGGGAGAAGGGCTGATGGTTGAATATAAACATCTGGTAAGAGGATCTTTTCTTTTGAGATTTAACATGTTCGATGTTTTATTGCAAATGTGTGCAGGATTTAAGTGTAAAGTTTAGTACAGGTATTTACAAAAAGGTGTAATGAAATAAATACAAAAAATCAAGCAACAACTGCCTTTAGTGCACTTTCAGTTCAGCATTTCTAAGTTTAAATAAAGATATGACCTTGTTAATTTATTCTCTAAGGCAAACTCTGAAAGGTTCTATATTTAAAAGAAAAACATTTGGCACTAATGACAAATTGGATTCATGAGTTTGATTTAACATAGTTTTCTTACTGGTACTGCAGTCATCTCCTCTTAAGTTTCCTTTTTTTTTTTTTTTAAGAAATAACAGGATAGTAACAAGGACTGAGCGTACAGTCACAGGATGCCTAATCTCGGAGTGAAAATTTGGCCTGAGGGCTCAGGACACTAACTCGGCTTATCTTAGCTGTGAATACTTATTGCCGTGAACCTCATCATGGACAAATTTTCACTCCGAGATTAGGCATCCTGTGACTTTATGCTCAGTCCTCGTTACCATCCAGTTTCTTCAACTGTCCTTCTCGTAGCAGCAGTGGGTGGCTTAGTGTCAGAGTAGGCTTTTTTAAGGGGTGCCCGCAAAGGCACATTAGACTTCTACCGTTATATTAGTTAAGGAATATCTCTCCTCTCCCTTATTTGTTGCTATGTGCAATAGCCTTTACTCTGAGTTTAGTTTAACAGTGTGTTCATTTCATTATATTAGTAAGTTTCTTATCTTTGGCTACTTTCACTGTTACTATATTGCTACACCACCCAGCACTAGACCATACAGGAAGGACTGTTTGTCTTGTTTGATTTTGATTTGTATCCTATCTAGTATATATCTTATTAGATTTATTTTTTTATACATAATGATATTGTGGTGGACCACAAACAACAAAGTGGTCTGCAGTGCGAATAGGTAATACCACAAGTGAGATGCAATGCATACACAGTGAGGATATATATAACCAATATATACCCTAAATATTAGCAGGGTCAGACGGTAGTAAGCCCAGATATTAGGGGAGTCGATGGTAGAATACCTATTGTGTGTCTGGAGGTACAGCAGGAGTTCCTTATTGGGTTAAAAGATGTTGAAACTGCGATCCTGAGTGCAGATAATTCATTGATTTCTTGCTGCATGAAGTGGTTCTTTTATTAATACATAATACAGCCAAACCAGTCACCCTTTCAGTCCTCTCACAGACTCTTTCCAAGACCTTGTGGTATTACCTATTTGCGCTGCACACCACTTTGTTGTTTGTTTTCACTTATTGTTGTGGGATTTTTTTGATTATTCCCATTGAGTGTGTCCTAGCTGCTTATCCTTAGCGCCATGGATTGTACTTTTTCCTTTTTGTGTATTGTGACGGACCACCTGGCACCCTGACTGGGTGCATCCGCCAATCGCTGCTTCCTAGTGGTTACCAAGTACCACAAGCACTGCACCAGACACCATTAGCACTGTAGTCCCTACGTCCAGCGGTTTTCGGGAGTTTCTGTGTCTGATTTTAGTTCCCGGAACTCAATGACCAAACACACTGCATGCGTTAATGCGAACAAGATGGCTGCCACCTTGTGGTCGTTCATGCGAAAAGCGGCCACCCAAACAAACAATTAGAACACTGAGGTTAGTATCATTACTAACTGTTAATAGGGTTTAACAAGCTCCCGGGTGGTCTCTGGTTCATGCGGCTGTTCGGGAACCGAACCATATAATCCCAATTGCACGAACAGAGCATTTTAAAAGTATTTTAGCCAGGTCTATTGCAGGTAGCCATAGTCCTGGGGCAGGAGGCTGGCAAGCAGGCTCCTCCAAAAGCCTGTTTCGTTTTTCTTTTTCATTCCTAGCTTAGATAATGCATTGCAAAAGTAAAAACAAAAACAAACAAAAAAACTTGTCAAATCAAATAGCTTCCATGATAGGTCCGTTTTCTTTAGATACACCAGCTTGATACCAGGCTGTACAGATACCAGTGCTGCCTTCATGGGTTGTGATCATCTTGCCCACAGATCCCTAAAAAGTGTTTTGCCTATGCCGACTGAGTACAATGTTAAATGAGGGATATATAGAGTAATGCATATATGCCTGAATTAGAGGCTGTGAAATGACTATGTGTCTTGATATTCCCATGTATTGAAAATAGATGTTTTCGCTGATTAGAGGCATCTAGGAACATGGCTGAACCAGAGAAAATATGCAATCTTTTACCGTTTCATAGATCAGCAGTATCTTTACAATTACCAAATTGTACCAAATTGTTGTCTCCCACCACAGACCCTGAAAGAACAGAAATCAGGTCCTGGAGGAAAGGGGAGCAAAGGAGCCAGTGATGTAAGTATTTATTTCCTTTTATGTTGTCTCTGACTCTGCACCTAGTTACCATCAAAGGATGATAGCAGGAAAGGTCCATCCATAGTTAACATGATTACGGACAATTCTGCTAGGGGCTAGAATATCATATTGGCAATATAATTGTCCTTGCAAACTTGTTAAAACATAATTTGTCTGAGCTTTATGATCATTTTAATTGTAACCCCTGTACCTTTAGTGTTGCTATAGTTTGCTGCTTATTGCTTGATTGCCAAATGTTTTTGGTTTTAGGCATCACTCAGTGTCGTGGAGGAACTTCACGTCATTACTTTCACAACACTTTTTGACTATCAAGATTTGAAACTGAATCTAGAGGTAAATTGAAGCGGTTGAATATATTTCATTGTATTCTTGCGGTGCTGGCCCATGCCCATGTCGCACACACTTGTAGATTTCCCCATACTGTTCCATACATTCCCATTTCTTCTGTATAAATAACCATTCTAATAATCTAAATTTTTCCATTTCGACAATGCTTTTGTCTCAAGTGATCTTTATCCTCATTGTAGGACTATGACTTCAAGTTTGCATTAATGCCCATAACACAACAAATGTGTTTGCCTGATCCTATAGTGTTAAAAACATTATGTACCCCCCTCCCATCACCCATAGGAAAGCATTGGATTGGCTGAGACAGTCAATTCTAATAATCTCAGGCAATGAGGCAGGGTGGGGGCAGAGCCAAATGCCGCCATGACTAATCAGCATCTCCTCCTTGATTCCTTGAATCAGTGCATCTCTATGAGGAAAGTTCAGCTTCTCCATGCACACTGTGCAGCACTGACCCAGAAAGCACCTCTGGTGCAATGTAAATGTTTTCTCCGAAAAGGCAGCGTTTACAACAAAAAGCCTGCAGGCACATGGTTTAGTCTCCAGAACAACCACATTAAACGGTAGTTGTTCTGGTTACTATAGTGTCCCTTTAACTGTGCGCTAAAAATAACTTTTATAAACGTTTTTTCACCAAAGTTCTAAGTCTTTGGTAATATAGCAATTGAAGAGTGCATTTTCTATCTTTAAAGGAATTTGCAATCAGTTGAAAGCCTTTACTAACAGTATGTTTGCATGTCATTACTGTAGATAGAACCATTGGAAGCATCCTCTTTCTCTGATGCTGCAGGGAGAGATACTTAATGTTTAATTGAAAAATGCACTTTTCTCATTTGATATAAGTTTAATGTACAACGCATCCCATTAAAATATCACTCAAGTGTCTCATTACATCTTTCAGGCTGTTACACTGCCCTTTGTAGTAATCACCAACGTCAGTCAGTTTGTAGGAGCTTGGGCCTCTGTCTTTTGGTTCAATTTGTTGAGCCCCGACCCTAAGGTAAGAAATATATATATAAAAAAATTCTCTAACTATGGCCTCGATTTAAAGTATTTAGATAAGATTTTCAAATTAGTTAGTATTTTGGATAAACTTTTAAAATTTTCATATTTTGAATATTATTTACATTTTTTGTTATATATTTGTTATATCTTAATATTTTGAAAAAAAAACATTTTAAAAGTTAATTTAAATATATTAAATAATTTGATTGCATTTTAAGACTACAGAACAATGTGCACCACTTGTTTGTTGTTCCCATAAGCTCTTTTCGGAGGTCTCTTTCATGTCTGGGATTTCTACCTCTTGGTTACTATATTTGAGTTTTCTGTGCCTCCCCTGTGTGGGATATTTTCTCCTGATGTGTTCTTGTCTTTGAATTGACCCAAAAAAATCTTACATAAAGCTTCTGCAAACCTAATAAATTAAGGCCTATATTTATTAAATTACTACATCTCTCACGTGAAAACTTAACAGAACTTTTTATTAATAAACATACTTTACACGATCAGAGTGCAATGGAATATAAAATGCACAATTGCATTTATTATTATTTATATAGTGCCAAAATATTCGGCAGCGCTGTACAACGTGTGGACTAACACACGTATTTGTAACCAGACAAGTAATGCTAGTTTAATTAAAAAAAATGAATTAAATTAAATTTTTGTTCCTTTTTCTTTTATTACCTGGTAATATCTGAATTACTGCTGCTTTTACTCTTTCGAAATAATTAGAAATAAATAAACATCGGGGAAAAAAAATGACTTTTGTTATTGTACTGCTGAATAGTACATTATATATATCGTTTTCAGGCAAATTGCTTTTAAAAATAAAACTAAAAATCAAAGTGTGTGCACATATAAATCAGCCAATAACTGTATATGTGTGAGAATATTTATATTCAAGTAGACCTACGCAGTGTAAGACTATGTAAAATGTTTATCAGAACTAACAACTAACAACTTCATATATAAATTTGTCTTTGTTTTTATCTTGTGTTTAACTAAGTGATATTATTATTTATTTAATTTTCTAGGATTTGACTTTTTTCTCCAAGCCTCCTCCAGCACCCTGGGTGTTATTAGCAAATGCACTAAGCTGGCAGTTCTTATTTAGCACAAAGCGTGGACTGAATCAAGACCAGCTACAAATGCTGGGAAAGAAACTCTGTGGTATGAGTCTACTATGTATATTAATCCGCATGCGTGATATTTTATATAACAAGGTTTGCTTAGTCTTGGCACTGATGTGATATTATTAATATTATTATTACTGGCATTTATAAAGTGCCGACATATAGAGGGTATTGGTATTTGCATCATAGTTTTGAATGTATAGACATCCAATTGCACAGAACAGGGAACTGACTTCACATGGTAGTAATCCCAGAGATGGGGGAAACTAGAAGTGGTATGATCTGGGGGACTTTTGGGATTAGGTATTGTGATGGACCGCCTGGCACCCTGATTGGGTACCTCCGTCAAGCTCGCTTCCTAGCTATCACCGTGACAACAGTAGTGCTTCAGCCCCTAGCTGCCGCAACTTGGCTGGGTTCTCTCCATCACTTCCCGCCCTGGAACAGGGTACTGGGTACAGCTTCAAGTGATTAAGCTCTCCTGCAGAGAGTATAGCTGATCCACCCAAACACCAGCCCAGACTGAGTGAAGGGTGAAAAGGATAATAAATACAAAAAACTGTGAAATATAGATGCTTAAAAATTATTATAGAATACAGAACTCAATTGGGATAAGCAGCTCGACATGTAACAACTATTTCGAGAAAGAGATAAATAGGGAAATAATGGTGCAGTATGTCTAAATCTTATAAATGGTGGAGAAAAGACCAAATGTAGCAAATTCACATGGCTTAGAGCCTGGGGAGGATAGGCTCAAGTCACACACGCACGGGTATTTAAAGACAAAACCAGACTTCTTCTATAGTGACATTCAGGTACTCCGAGAGGAGAAAAAAATGGAACAAAGTCCGAGTGTATTATCCTTTTAAATATATATCACAAATTAGAATGGTGCAAATACTTGCTCACCTTATTGAGAGCCAAAGGTAACTGGGCTCTCAGTGTGTTTGGCACTGTGCCTTTAAGAGGGCACAACTCTTCTTGTAAAGCAGGAAGAAGATGCTGCAGCTCATAGGACTCAGTAAAAATAAAAACACTTTATTTATAAACAAACATAAAATATATCTATAAAATACCATCTAATAATGGTCTCTTTAAAAGTCCTTGCTGCCAGAGACGCGTTTCACCTTATCACAAAAAGGCTTTCTCAATCGGAAATACTGTAAAACTATGTCAAGGATTTACCCTATCCTCTTAGCAGGGCCCTGGTCACCAGTTTTTCTTGTTTAGCACAGTACTGTGGAAATGTTTGTGGAGAGTAAATTATTATGACAGGAAATGGGAAGCAAAAAGGCCATTTGTGAAGCAGAATAATATTGTCTGTCTTAATAGTATAATTTGGAATGGGCTCATGTTTAAAGAGACACTGTAAACACTGTAACTGCTTTATCTCAATGAATTGGTAATAGTTTCTGAAGTCACATGCTGTCCTTCCATTTAGAATAAAACCATTTTTAATGTTTTAGTGCCAAGTGAGAGTCCCCAAGCAGCAATTGGCAGTTGTGATCTGCTGAGGGTGTCAACTGACCAGATTTAGGCTATCACAATGCCCATTGCTGGTATAAATTGCTTTTGGCTAGCGTGAAATCTCTGCCATAGCCATATCTTTAGTAGGGAACTGGAACTGTGGGTGGCCAGGGACCCTTATTTAGTGTAAAACTGATCAAAATGGTTTTACATAGAATGTAGGGGGGCAGTGCCAGAATACTCTAGGCAATATAACCAATTTAATGAGATTGAACGGTTGTAGTGCCTATAGTGTCCCTTTAAGTGTATTTTCTGCAGGCTATCAGGAGGGTTAGCCGGTGTCTGCTGGGACCATTGAAAGTAAGAAGGGACAAATGACTGTATAACGTCTTACCTACCCTCTGTTATTTTTTTATTAACTTAGCTTTATGTTAATTTTAGGGACAGAACTGCGAGAGGATAGCCAAGTGTCATGGAGCAGGTTTTCCAAGGTGATTTATGTTTGTCCTACCCGGTTCTTGTCTTGTACTTGTTTTTTTTTTTTATTGTTTTTTTATTAGTTTGTTCACTTAAATACAACCAAGTGTGACACCGTGCATAAGAGTTTAAGTCCTTTGCATATTTTTTAGAGTGGCTGTCTCAATTGTTTGCTAACATTTTACTTCTTAGTGTGTGTGAAACAGATGAGTTATGCACACATGGTACATTATAATTTTTGTCAATCTTCATGTACATTTTATTTGGATGTAGGCTCAGAACAACTTTATCATAACATGGTCACATGCATGCTAGCATATGTCAAATACCTACATGAAGGTGGCTTTGTTGTGTATGACAGGGACACTTAAATATGCTTACTTTCAGATTTGCAACAATTTCTTGCTTTGAGTGTATTAATTGAATGCATACTTTTGTGCTGCTTATAATGTTCTTAATTATTATACTTATGTTACAGGAGAACTTGTCCAGGGTCTCATTTACTTTTTGGACATGGTTTGATGCCATCCTCGCCTTGGTGAAAAGCCATTTGGAAGGCATATGGAATGATGGGTATGTATGTGATTGCTTGTCACAATCTCATTACTGTTAAAATATGCTTCAAAAAATTAAACAAAGAAGTGAGTGGATAACTGATGCACTGCTCACCAATTCCACCCTGAGAAGAACAAAGCTTGCCCACACATCCAGTCTGTACCATGAGTGACCACCCTGCAGTGTGGGGGGAAAAACCGTGCCGTATCGGCTTATGCCAGCCCATCTGCAGACGTAGCAGGAGTCACACCAAATGACTCAACCAGGCAGGGCAAGACCACTACAATGAAACACACACAAATCAAACTATGAATCATGAAACAACACTTTTCATCCATTGAATGTGTTGTTTGTTTCCTGATACGTCCATTTGATGCTTTGGAGTTGCGGAATGTGGACAACCAGTTGAAACCAAATGCACATGTCTACTTTTCTACCCTTTTTTATTTTTCAGTTATTTATTTGTAGGCTATATTACATCTTCAGTATACTGTCAGAATATCAAAATGTTTTTGTTCATTCCATGTTCCATAATCCCATATGGTTTTAAAGTCTTTATTAAAAAAACAAGTCCCAGACACTCACTATTTAAGTTGAGTTTATTCACTATACACCAAATTATACAGTAAACTGCAAAATCTAGGCAAATTGGGCTGCTTTTCGTTTTTTAAAAGAACATTTATGCGACCATGCTATGGTATTTCCGATCTGTCTTTTCTGTGCAGACGTTTAAGGAGAATAAGTCAATCTAAGCATAACACATACACCATTAAAACACCATACTTGTGATTTTTTTTTTTTAACCAGATTTAAGGTTCTCTCCCTGTTCTTTTGTCACTTACGCATTCTCTCTACATTTTCTGTTTTTTCAGTCATGTAATGGGGTTTGTGAGTCGTAGCAAAGAAGAGAACCTTCTGAAGACAAAGATGGATGGCACTTTCCTCCTACGTTTCAGTGAGAGTGTTCGTGAAGGAGGGATTACCTTTTCTTGGGTGGAACATCAAGTAAATGGTGCGTGAAACTAGGCTTGGAGTCAAAACCTCAGAGTAATTTGGGAGTCCTGGAAAGAAATGTTTAAATGTATTTTTCATTTCAGTATGTGTTTAAATGTATTTTTCATTTCAGTTGGATAGGAAAACTTAAAAAAATATTTTTACCAAATGTCAGGCAAGAAAACCATATTGTAAGGCAATATATATATATATATATATATATATATATATATTTAAATTTATTTAATTATTTATTTTATTCGGGTGATTCATAGCAGTGGAACAAGATAAAAGACATTCATGATAAGAACATTGCAGTTGTACATGAGTGATATCGTCTCATGTACCCCCCCCCCCTTTTTTTTTTATACATCTAGAGTTTAGCTAAAAGTGCACAGGAGTGAGAGATCATTGAGTATTGAGGGCGTTTATCTCCATCTCTATCTATTTGCGAGTTGCGGTATAAACCGTGAGTGACTATGGTTGTAGATTATAACTCCTGGTCTTGGTGCTAATGCCCCCTACCCTATCATGCCGTGTGTGTGGGGGGGAGGGTAGCTTTCACGTTGCGTGACTGTTTAAACGAGTCGGATTGTATTACATGTGGGAGCAACATTTACATTTGCTAAACTTTGGCACTATTAGGCAAAACATATCATTCCTCCTAGAGGCAGTGGCGGAAAACGAAATGCATATTAAAATTACAAGAGAGTAGCAAGAAATAAGAACTTAACAGAAAAAACGTATTATAGGCTAATGTCCAGTGCAGAGTCAGGTCCCCGAGTCACTGGTACCGCTGGGCACAAATGGGTTGACTCTGGATACGTCCCAGGTTTGTCTTGTGTCTGTCATTGTAGTCTGGGACTGTAGTCCAAGCGCCTGGAGGAAAGCAGTTCCCTTTGTGGGATCCTGGGCTCTGAATGTCTTTCCATTTTGGGTGACCACGTATACGGGAGACCAGCACTTTGCAGGGTTTTCGTGATCGGCTGCAGGGTTGCAGGGTTTTCGTGACCAGCACTTTGCATCAGTTTTTCGTGATCGGCTGCTTAGGTCCTGGAAGATAAGGCTTTGTGACTCGAATTGTAGTGGGGTCTTATCCTTCACTGCGTTGAGGAGCTTTTGTTTGTTGGCCCGAGTTTGGCAGCATAGAATAATGTCCCGTGGGGGGGCCTTAGCTGGAGCTTGTGATGACTTAGCTATGCGGTACATGCCGTCAAAGTTGATTTGCTTTGCATTTTTTGTGGGCATGACAGTGGAGACTAGGCGCCTGACAAAGTGGGGAAGTTCCTCAGGTGACAGGGAGTCCGCCACTCCGCGGATCTTGATGTTTCTATTCCGCGCTCTGTCCTCTAATTGAGCTATCTTGACACCTTGGTAAGCTTGTGCTGTTTGGAGTTGTTGCATGGTTTCATTGATGGCGGCCATGCCCTGTTTGAAGTCGGTGAGATCAGCTTCTGTCGCTTGGACCCTGTTAGTGACTGCCTGTACCTCTGTTCGTACAGTTTTGAGCTCGGCCGAGAACATTTGCTGGATGTACACTAATAAGTTGTGTATGTCCTGTTTGGTGGACGGTGCGTTGCCATCCACTATCGCCGGAGCCTCTGGCATGGAGGGCGTCTCTGCAGGTGGGTCTGCAAAGGGCATCTGTTTACTCGCGGGCACTTCCCCCACTTATCGGAGGTGAGTATGCTCCGGTATCTTTGATTTCTGCAGCGTTAAAGTCGCTTTTATCAGGATTTTTCGCTGAGTTGTCTGGAGGTACGTCTACCACGGAGCGCTGCTTAGCTTCGCCCCACATCGTAAGGCAATATGTATGTATTGTATAGTTATAGTCACATTGCCATGACATTGGCCATACCATACCCCCTTCATTGCAGCCATGTTGCTTCTTTGGGCATGCACATACTAATACATGCACACAAATATATACACTGATACATGCACATATATACACACTCTGATACATGTGCACATTTACACACATTCACCGATACACTCACTGATACAGCTGACAGGAAAGACAACCACACACAGATACACGTTCTCAGACACATACATGTACACAATGTCAGAAATATATGTACGGGTTCACATAGACATCAAAATACACTATCAGAAACACACACTTGTTGACAGACACACATACATTTTGACAGGCACATACACTGTCAGACATATACATGCTGACCATCACACACACTTTAACCTGGCGGTGTAGTGGCAATAGTGTGCTATAACTCTTGACAGCAACCATCATGCTGCTTCCCTGTAGTGTAACTTCACGGAGTAATGGACAGCTGTGTAAGTTGTGTAACGCCGCCCCTTCCAAATTTCTCTTCCTGGCAGACAAGCCCTCACTGACACATGCACTGACATACACTCACTTATAGTTACACAGTCATTGTCACACACACTGTTTAACCAACACACACTTTCACTGACACATACACATTCACAGACATACGCACTCACTCACATTCGCTGACAGCCACGCATTCTCCGACAGAAACATACACACTCACTGTTAAGACACACATCCACACTCACTGACAGAAATGCATACACACTCACTGTCAGACACTCACACACTGGGACACACACATACTCAGTGACAAACACACATAAACAACACTCACTGATAGACACACATTAACACGCCTCCCTACTTTTGGGAGTACTGGAGTGAATTCTTCCTTGGAGTCCAGTGGGGTTGCTGCTGGCTGGGATGGCAGACACGTGGTCAGGCGGGCGGTCAACAGGCAACAGAGGGTTGTACTCAATGGAGTATATTCGAAGCATGGGTTTGTCACCAGTGGGGTACCTCAGGGATCTGTACTTGGACCCATTCACTTTAATATTTTTATTAGTGATATTCCAGAAGGTCTTGATGGTTAGGGATGTCTTTTTGCTGATGATACTAAGATATGTAACAGGGTTGATGTTCCAGGAGGGATAAGCCAAATGACAAATGATTTAGGTAAATTAGAAAAATGGTCAGAGTTGTGGCAACTGACATTTAATGTGGATAAGTGCAAGATAATGCATCATGGATGTAAAAGCCCAAGGGCAGAGTACAGAATATTTGATAGAGTCCTAACCTCAACATCTAAGGAAAGGGATTTAGCGGTAATTATTTCAGATGACTTAAAGGTAGGCAGACAATGTAATAGAGCAGCAGGAAATGCTAGCAGAATGCTTGGTTGTATAGGGAGAGGTATTAGCAGTAGAAAGAGGGAAGTGCTCATGCCATTGTACAGAACACTGGTGAGACCTCACTTGGAGTATTGTACGCAGTACTGGAGACCGTATCTTCAGAAGGATATTGATACCTTAGAGAGAGTTCAGAGAAGGGCTACTAAACTGGTTCATGGATTGCGGGATAAAACTTACCAGGAAAGGTTAAAGGATCTTAACATGTATAGCTTGGAGGAAAGACGAGACAGGGGGGATATGATAGAAACATTTAAATACATAAAGGGAATCAACACAGTAAAGGAGGAGACTATATTTAAAAGAAGAAAAACTACCACAACAAGAGGACATAGTCTTAAGTTAGAGGGGCAAAGGTTTAAAAATAATATCAGGAAGTATTACTTTACTGAGAGGATAGTGGATGCATGGAATAGCCTTCCAGCTGAAGTGGTAGAGGTTAATACAGTAAAGGAGTTTAAGCATGTGTGGGATAGGCATAAGGCTATCCTAACTATAAGATATGGCTAGGGACTAATGAAAGTATTTAGAAAATTGGGCAGACTAGATGGGCCGAATGGTTCTTATCTGCCGTCACATTCTATGTTTCTTTGATGCCGGAGTGACATCATATTCCGGCTCCTGCATCACTGGGGAGCTGAACAGGGGAGAGCTCAGGGAACAGTGCTCCCTCACGTGCCCCGCAACATCAGCGCATGCCAGCTTCAGGGGGTCCTTGAGGTGGACCCAGGACAAGAAGCTGTCAAGGCATTTGGCATTTGTCAGGGCGATTGAGAGGGCGGCTTTTTTGCCAACCCCCTGGAAGTGCCGCCCAAGAAAAATGCCTCGTCAGCCTCGCGGTAAATACAGCCTCGTGGTAAAAACACCACTGGTAACGGTAGAAGGGAAGAGTGTGCTACCAGAAGTTACAGCACACTCACTGTGCCCTCAGCAAGCTCTCCAGCCCCTATCACCTTCAGCCCCCTCTGTTTACCTTCTCTTCTTGGTGGGAGGCTGTGTCTAGCAACTCCCTATAAATAGAGAGAGAGCAGAGGAGACATTTTTTTTTTTTTCCCAAAATGAAAAAATAAAATTGAAAATATATCACAGGTGTGTACAGTAACCTAGTTCACTTAGATGCCACGCTGGATTAAACATACCAAGCCTTTCTGTATTTACTTAATGGCAAAAGATGGATTTTCCCTTTAAGAATCCTGATGTAATCACCATCAAAAAAGAAATTGTTAAAAATAAATAATTGCCCCAACAACTAAAAATAAACAAAATCATATACTTTCACTTACAAGGATGGAAACCTATCCATATGCATTTCTTATAGGGACATTGAAGGCACCCAGACCACTTCAGCCCATTGAAGTGGTCTGGGTGCCAACTCCCATCACCCTTAACCCTGCAAGTGTAATTATTGCAGTTTTTCTAAACTGCAATAATTACCTTGCAGGGTTAATTCCTCCTCAAGTGACTGTCTACCAGACAGCCACCTGAGGGACTTCCGGGTTCTTAGACGACTTTTGTTCGTCTAAACGACGCTGGATGTCCTCACTCTATGCATGAGGACCTCCAGCGTCACCAGAATCCCCGTAGGAAAGCACTGAATAATGCTTTCCTATGGGGAGATTCTAATGTGAATGCTGCCATTGCCGTGCATGCGTATTAGGTCTCCCCCATCAGCGGACGTGGGATGGATGGAGGGTGAGGGAGGGGGGCACTCTAGGATTCTACAGTTCCGGGAAAAAGGGGTTGGTTTTCCTGGCACTTGAGAATCCCTTTAATAGAGTTTGAGATGTTCCAAACAAAACTGAACAGTAATTGCATTTGACTGCAGCATTTCAGTTTCCTTTTGCCCGCTTTATGTCAACTTTTGACTGCACTGACATTTGTTCAGTACTTTACTGATGTTACACATATAAATGATAAATACCTACTCAATGAATGTGGCGGAAAAGCAATGGCTGTAGTATACAACGAACACTCGATCTCTCTAAAACTGAGCTTCTTATTTTTCCTCCATATAATTCTGATCTTCTTTTTTCGCTCTCCATGCAAGTTGATGGTACCTGCATCAGCCTGTCCTTGCAAGCTTGCTCCCTTGCTGTTATCTTTCATCATGGCCTCACCTTTGTGCCTCATATCCAACATGCTGCTAAATCCTGTAGATTCCACTTTTAAAACATAGCCTGCATCCACCTCTTTCTTACACAAGATGCTGCCAAGGAGCTTGTGCATGCTCTAGTAATTAATTGCTTGGATTACTGTAATTCTCCCCTAATTGGTCTCCCTAGAAGCCGTACTGCCCTGATACAATCTGTAATGAATGCTGCCACCACTTTGACCTTTCTCTCCGTTCACTATTCTCATACCTTACCCCTCTGTCGATCCTTACACTGACTTCCTGTATCCTATAGGTGTCAATTTAAAATGCTAACCCTTACCTATAAACCTTTAAACAACTATAGCCTTGTTACGTTTCTTTACTGATTCATAGGTATGCCCCTTCACTGTCTCTCTGCTCTGCCGGTGACCACCTCCTCTCTGCTCCTCGCACTCTCATTACTAACTCATACTTGCAGGACTTTTCACGGGCAGGTCCTTTCATTTGGAGCAGCCTGTCTACCCCCATTAGACTCTTCCTTATTCTTCAATCTTTTAAGACGTCCCTCAAAACCCATATGTTCAGAAATGCTGGTGGCCTCACTGTAACCTCACAAATCTGTCTCTGGCTCTCTTCTGAAGAGCCACACTTCACTTTCACCTCCAGTCCTGTTACATTCCCACCTTGTTTGTTTTCTTTGTACCCCTTGATGCCCTTCCTATTGTGTCTTTATACTTCAGTCCTCAGGGCTGTAAGCTCGTCTGAGCAGGGTCCTCATCTACGTATTGTTCCTGTATAATTTGGGAATTATGCCTCTTATTGTTAAATTCCCCACCTTTCCATAATATTGTAAAGCGCTGCAGAATAAATTGGCACTATGTAAATACCAATAATAATAATGTATGGCCATCTGATAACTGTCCATTTTTTTATCTACAGGATCCTACATAATCCGCTCTGTTGAGCCCTACACGAAAAGGGAGCTTTTGCATATCCCTCTGACTGAGATCCTCAGAAACTACCAACTAATGGCTGAGGAAAACATTCCTGAGAACCCTTTGAAATACTTGTACCCAAATATTCCAAAAGACCAGGCATTTGGGCAGTATTATGAGCATAGAAGTGAAAGTGAGTAATCTGCTTCCTCTTTGTGTGCTTGTTGATGTAGAGTGCTCAGACACAATAGCAAAGTATATAGCATGTTATGTAAGTGACTTTAAAAAGGTCCGATGTTTTAGCCCATGTTGCAGAACCCTACACGTTCCTCTGATGTATGACATGACCCTACTCTTTCAAGGAACACTATCTTTTTTTTATGTAGCAACTATATTTAGGGGACTCTCTGCAGAACAGGTTTTTTATTTTGGGTAAAGCAGGAGCTAAACACTCCTTGGTTTCACCTCACTCTATTAATACATAGGAAAAAAGGTACAGCACAAGTACGAAGTATACGATTTAGTGTTCTATATTTATAGTGTTTCATATTTCACTGTGTAATAAAACTATACTAGAAATTCACCAGCTGTGCCTTCTTTTCAGTTCCACTACCAAATTGCTTAATGTTATTATATAGCATTGGGAGGGGGCCTGACTGCATGTTACAAGAACTGCTCATGAAATCCATTGATTACGCTAAGAATATATACATATCACTATTTACGGAGGTCGCCTTATCTTTATTGCCTTGGGAACTCTTTCTAGTTGCTTTGGACAGTTTCATATTATTATTATGGGTGTCCCTTGGACTTTGCAAAGGAGGCCCACTTCTTGACCTAAGATAGTAGCTATTAATACTTTACTACAGCCACCAGCAGTTGATATGTAGCAGAGGTGGGAAGAGGCCTTTCTTCTGGCATATCACGAGGTCTGTGCTGGTTTATGAAACACAAGAAGCTGGCACAACAGCTTACCTTACTTGGTACAGAGCCGGCTTGTCAGTGTTCTTCGGTCCTACACCACCTTCCCAGGCAGGGACTCAAAGGGAAAGATACACCTGAGTATATTTCACAACCTGGAGGAGCTCTGTTCCAGGGACTCTCTCTGGACTTTGCCCTGTGCATATGGCGGGGAGAGGTATATGGCAGGGAGAAGTAATTTGACATGGCATGTTGGCTCCTGAAAATGCTTGGGGCTGGTGATGTGAGGGCTGGGGTTGTAAACATGCCAGTTTTACTAGGTCTGGCAGTATGCCAAATTTTCTGCAGCTACCAATACACCTTACCTAGTTTGCATATAGTTTAAATTACCACTATCTACTGCCCAATGGTTAGATTAATTATTCAGACAGTAGCTTTTCATCCTTTGTTTGCCTTCTGTTAGTTTGTTTTGCAAGTCCAGTAGTTGTTATAACCAATCGCTATAGTATGCCTATCTCATGGATTTAAATCAAGGCCATGTGTACCATAGCTTTATAATTTATGTGCATCTCTCTTGACATGTATATCACTTGATACTTCCTTGTAACATGATATGCAGATCGATCAGATTGTTTTTTTTTTTTTCTTGTACTGCAAGTTATTCCATTTTACTCTCGTCTGAGATCCTGCAAATATACATTTACAAAAATGCAAAGAAAAACAAATTACAAATGCTCTTTTTTTTCCCCTTTAAAATATTTCACTTCTCTTCTTCTGTCATATGTTTGTGTTCCATTTTTTTTTTTTACAAATCTTTTACTTCCAATGTATAAAAGAGGTGCAAATTGCTCCTTTTCTTTCCGACAATATTTCTGCTGCTGTCAGCTTTTCTTAGGTAAGCAGCTTTCGTAATCTTCCTTTTTTTAAATGTATAAAAAATCCTTCATATTGCAAATTTGTGGCCTTTTCTCCTATTTATAACACTAATTAATTTGTCTCGTTTTGTGAATAAAATCTGAAAAAAAAGAGGTGGAAAGACAAACTATTGTGGAACACTACAGAAAAGGCAGAGATTAAGGCACCAATTTGTAAATGGTGGAGTGCTTGTATTCTGTATAAGAAAATGATGCTTGCACAAAAAAGTAAAGCAAACGTGTCATGTATTGATTTGGCAGCAATTGTAAATGTAGTAGTCGCCTGTCATCTGATAGCAATTTGTGTAAAATACACGACTACAAATGAATACATTTGTATGATGTTAATTGCATGTGTTTTTTTTTTTTTTAATTCTTTATTTTTGTGGGTATACGAGAGTTAAACACGTAGTACATTATGTGCAAAACGAAAGTGAGATAACATGTACAAAATACATTTAAGATAGTCTTCATATAACATTCGTGTTTGCATAGAAACTTTGCAACCGATTTTTAATAGGTAAAGCCCTGCATTTCTCCCTCGTGTTAGTGGCCGCTAAGGCGTATGGCTTCCAGGGGCTAGTATACAGCATTATGTGCTCTGCTTAGGAATGTTGGGGCTGTAGGCGCAGCCTGGGCACTTGGATTATTAGGTGAGGTAGTGTGGTTATTATGGCCATTGGCCGTTGATAGGAGTGGTGCAGGTCCTCGCAAGTCTCCCAGTAGGGCGCTTGTACACAGAAGTTCGGGCCTCTGCATTTGCTTCGTGTTAGGGGAGGGGCAAGTCTGCTTAACCAGGATCGGTGGGAGTCTTTTACGGAGCCAGAGATTTAAATATATCTGTTGCCCTGTAACCTTCATAAACTTAAAAAACAAACAAAAAATAAACTTTTAAGACCTTAGAAAACTTAAGAAACTTTGAGAAAAGAAACCAAGAACCAAAAAGTCACTGCTTCTAAGGTGAGCAAAAAGACTAGGTAAGTTCAGCATATGAAAGGTGTCCAATTTATAGTCCTGCAGTAAGGGACCTATCAGACATTTCACGGGTGCACTTGCATGTGCGGTCGCGTTTCTCATGTTAAAGGATCCGTCATCTTCGGCTCAGTTCCTCTGGGCACAAAGGGAGTTATATCATCGACATTCCACGCTGGGCTGGCCCTTGTCGCTGCTGTAGGAAGCGAGAGTCCCAGTGACTGGAGAAACTTAGGCGCTTCAGATATGCGTGTCAAGTGGGCCGTCTTACCGGCGTGCTCTATGGTTAAACGATGAGGGCCTCATTTATAGGGGATAGAGTTCTCGCCCAGTAGCAAGGTGATGTGGCGGAGAGACCTGCGCCAGGTGAGAGTGTGCTTTGAGAAGTCTCTGTATAGGGTCAAACTTGCTCCCTCAAACATGATGGTGGGAGAGCCTCTCGCGGCTCCCATGAGAGCCCCCCGGTCCGAGTCCCGGACAAATTTAATTAACACATCCGCTGGTGCTTCTTGGGGCGCTTTGAGTGCCTTGGGGAGGCGAAAGCAAGTGTCGATCCCTACCTGCTTCGCTTGTTTGGGAGTCAGTAAGGTTGCCACCAGCCTCCTACAATAGTGTGGTAATTCCAGGTTTCCCGCCGATTCCGGCACTCCCCGGATTCGCAGGTTTCGGGCTCTAGTTTTGTCTTCCATGCCCGCTAATTGAGTGGTCAGCGCCGCACATTGTTTTTGCAACTGTCCCAGGGCAGCGTCTGTCGCCACTTGTGCTACTCTCGCGCCCCCGAGGGACTCCTCAACGGAGACCACCCGGCCTGCAAGTGTGGAGACCTCCCCTCGGACAAGTGCCATGTTGGCATCAAACATCGCTTTGATGTTTACCATCAGTGCCTTGATGTCGGCTTTCGTGGCGCGTGCTGCGTCGCCCAATTCTTTAGGCTGCTGGGGTGTAATATGCACCTTACTGGAAACGTGGAAGGAATCGAGTGCGCTGTCATCGTCGGATGACTGTGTGTCGAAGGCCTCTATCGGCGCCATCTTGCCAGGTACGTGCAGCTGCGTAGGGTGCATAAAAGTGCCTATATCTTTGGATCCCGAGCCAGGATCTGCTCTGCTCTTCTTCGTTTTCTTCCCCATAGTGTGGGGTGTCTTGGGGATCTATTTGTCGGGTCCCAGAGGCGGTTTTTGTCGCTTGGATATCCCTTTTTCTGGGTCTCACGCTCGGAGCTGTGGTGAGTTGCGACTTGCTCGTTTAGGCGCTGGCTCCGCCCCCCAATTGCATGTCTTTATCAGATGATACTGTATTGTGTGTAAAAAGCAGTGAGAGTAAGGAGGTAGACTACCAAGACAGATCTTTTTACAGCATATCATATTCTTAAAAACATAATCATAAGTCAATTTAAAAAGAACATGGTAGCGTTCGGAATACAGATATCTGTATTCTGAAAGCTACAGTCTTTGATGGATAAACATGCCATTGTATATATAATAGATTGTAATTGTACCACCCATTGGAAAGTTGATTTGAAACAGTCCTAATTGAGTCTCCACTGTAAGCAGTATTTGCAATGACAAAAATTCTACTTTACATCTCTCCAAGACAGGTATATTGTTAAACAGACTGCACACTTTATTAAATATCGTTGTACATTAAAAACAAGGTACAATAAATCAACATAACAAAAAGAGTATTTTATATTCAATATATAATACATGCACGTAACAAGGGTTGAAAAGAAAAAATATGTCCCCAATGGTTCAGTAACATTCTACCTTGATGTGGTAATCTTTTCTAAATATTGTAGGCAACGCACTTCAGCCGTTCCCTCAAAGAATATGTAAATATCTTGTTGGCTCACAAAAAGTCAGTTTACTTTGTTGTTTCCATGCACACATGGTCAGATTCTTCTGTTTTATTTTTAATATATACAAATGAATCCTACTGGGTTAATAATTTCCCTTGAAAGTTGGACATAGGAAATGTATTAGAAGGGCTTCCCCTGGGTTTTATTACTGACACAAAACACCATTGGAATGTTCCAAGGCAGCAAAACAGGTCAGGATGCACTGCTGCAGGCTGGTGATACGAAGCAATGGCACAGAGTTACAGTGAAATGTAGTTACCACTAAGTCATGTAAAGCTCTGCAGTGTATACACATCTTAAATATTAAATCATTGGGTTGTTTTGTACTTATCAGATCTCAATTGAAAGCTGGCTATTCATGTTAGTTACATAAAAACTACTTTTAATTGTCTTTGTTAATATATTGTCTAATTTCTTTTCCAGTTACCTCTGAGTATGAGAAGTACCTTAGACGCAAACTGATTATTGTTTCAAAAAGGTAGGTAATTTTTATGTCCCAAGTGCTCCTTCCCTGGCAAATACGTCTACTGGCCGTGCTTTACCTTTCCTGTCTAACTGCTAATCCCTCTACCCACTATCCACTAATGTTATGTCACCTCTGCCCCACTGCCCACTCCTTTCTGACTGCTACTCTTACTTCTGTAATGTAGGAGTCTCAAACTATTGGTGTAGGAGGGAAGCAAGCAGCATATCAATTACCAGACTGTCTTGTCAGGCACCTGGCAACCAATACCAATTGTCCAGTGTGTAACCGGACAATCAAGCAGTTAAGTTGCTGGCTGCTTATGTGGCCAAGCAAAGAAGAAACGACCCCAAGAGATAAAATCCCCAAGGGTCATAGGTTTGGAAGTCCCTGGAAGTACTGTGTATGTTTATATTAAATTAAAACATAACTTTTATTCATCTCTATATAATAAAAATTGTAATACAAGTGCTCGTGATTGTGAAGCTTATGCAACAAAAAGAAAAAAAGAAAAGAACAGGCTAATAAATCATATACTGATTCAACCCTATGATAGATGGGAGCCCAGATAGTGAGCTTACATCGTATCAAAAAATCACACCATAAGGGCATGTCCTAAGTAAGGGTCCGTAGCTCTACAGAGAAGGGATAAGCAGTGCGTGCTCTAGTCTTCAGTAATTTATAAATTATGGTAAGAGGTGTCTCAAGCTAATCGCACTTATGCACATCTATGGTATGTGCCAAAATGTCACCTTCTATGTTGACCCTAATAGGCTATAATAACAGCATAAAGTAGATACCCAGTAGCCAGCTCTAAGACTAATAAGTCACTGATATCAATATTAGATCTGAAATTGTATCAGGTGAAAAAATGCTGAAGCCGGCTAAGCTAATGATAGTGATAGCCAGTAACTATATACACTGTTGCATAGGATAACCTCCTAAAAAGAAACCACGTTCCCAGATTCTAAACTGAATTGACAGTGGTGAAATGATGCAAACACGCAAGACCTGGCTGGTTGAAAGGAAGGCTGTCCCACCTTACACAGTGGAAAAACATCCGGTATATAAGCATAGCCTCTAGGGTCAAATAGATAAACCTGAAGGTAGACAATGGTCCAAGGGAAACCCTACATCGGTGCTGTCATGCCAGGAATACCCCGCATTAAGTCCCCCACCATAGCCTTAGATCCCAGAAAGAGCTAAACGGCTAAGGAAATAAAGTTAGAAAGCCTGTCTGCGAGCCTGCCTGACACGTGTTTCGGCGCTGCTAAAGTGCCTTCGTCCGAGGCATAGTGGAGGAGCTCGTCATCCCGGAGTCAGATTTAAAAGCTATATGATCCAATAGGATGAGGAGGCGTGTGAGCCCAGTTGCCGCCAGAGTCTGACGTGGAACTAGGTCACGCCCCCAGGGTGCGTATCGTAGTGTGATTGGTGGAGGGGGAGTGAGTGAATATCTGAGTTGGTGTTAACCCCCTCTGCTCCGTAGGACAGGAGGTATGAGGTCCCTAAGAAATCATTAGGGACCAGTGTCCATCCCATCCAATCCTTAAAGTATGGTCCATTATTCGCGGAGAGGTTAGTAAGGGTAGACGTAGATAAGTCCATAGTAGTATTGTTATAGATAGGATTACGGGCACGTACCCGAGCAGTCTGGTACTAGTACCACCAAGTTTTCAGACGGTACATTCTGTGTATAGGTGAAGAGCCGATTGGATCTTCCTTGGTGCTTGTGTCTCGCCGTGCCGTCAGTACGTGCCTGGCAGTGGTACGAGAAGTGCCTAGGAAGTTAGATCCTGCAAACATGCTTATGCCTGGGTACTGATTTAACACGGTGCCTCGAACCACGCTGGTTGTTAGGGGCGCAGGGGCACCTTGCTTGGGGGTACCCGACTCCCACTCATAGTGTAGTGTTCCTCACCTATCATAAAGCTTGTCCGTATAAACTTGTCCATATATAGGTGTCAGGTCATTGAATCCTGTGCCTGAAATACTGGCTCGTTACCTTTAATAGGAATAAGGTGATTTGAGCGTCACTGTAAGGGCCCTAACTACCAAGCTACAAATAAAATTAAAAGTAAGACATTTTTTAAAACGGTTAATGTAAATAGTTTTATTGCTTTTAAAAGTTGTCATTTTGCACCATGACTTCGCAACATTTCAAAAGGACAATTCCTTCATCTACGAAGAAACTGTACATATGTAGAGGAATATATGGTCCGATCCAATTATCTAAAGGACAAGTTAAAAAAAAAAAAAAAAGTGTTATAAAAAACTAACTTTAAACCACATTTGCCAATCTGTAGAAAATAAAGGAAGGAATGAATGCAATATAAAAATAAAGGGGAAAGACCAGAAACAAAAGAAAGGAAACCAATCCCACCTTTTTTAAATTTTAGTTCTAGACATAAGCATTTATGCAAGATTATAAAAAAGAATTTGCATCGTAATCCTTTATTGCAATTAGCACAGTCCTCTAGGGTATAAAACATGCGCAGTCTTTTGTTTTTAACTCCAGGCTCTTTATTTGGAACTCCACACAGAAGGCAGCATCAAAACAAAAGAAACAATAATATAACTGAATTCCTTGCAAATTAAATCCTAGCTCGTCTGAGCACTTACTGACATTTAAGTCCCTATCTATCAAGGGTTTAACGTAACAAAACACAGGTTCCACAACCTTGTTTTCTGTCTCTTTTCTGCACTCCAGTGCTCAGTCATCTTGACTGCTATACTAGCTCTCCAGTGCTCCGTCACCTTGACTGCTATACTATCTGCTTTCCAGTGCTCGGTCACCTTGACTGCTATACTATCTGCTCTCCAGTGCTCAGTTACCTTGACTGCTATACTTTCTGCACTCCAGTGCTCAGTCACCTTGACTACTATACTATCTGCTCTCCAGTGCTCAGTCACCTTGACTGCTATACTATCTGCTTCCAGTGCTCAGTCACCTTGACTGCTATACTATCTGCTCTCCAGTGCTCAGTCACCTTGACTGCTATACTATCTGCTCTCCAGTGCTCAGTTACCTTGACTGCTATACTTTCTGCACTCCAGTGCTCAGTCACCTTGCTATACTATCTGCTCTCCAGTGCTCAGTCACCTTGACTGCTATACTATCTGCTTTCCAGTGCTCAGTTACCTTGACTGCTATACTATCTGCTCTCCAGTGCTCTACCTTGACTGTGCACTCCAGTGCTCAGTCACCTTGACTACTATACTATCTGCTCTCCAGTGCTCAGTCACCTTGACTGCTATACTATCTGCTCTCCAGTGCTCAGTCACCTTGACTGCTATACTATCTGCTCTCCAGTGCTCAGTCACCTTGACTGCTATACTATCTGCTCTCCAGTGCTTAGTTACCTTGACTGCTATACTATCTGCTCTCCAGTGCTCAGTCACCTTGACTGCTATACTATCTGCTCTCCAGTGCTCAGTCACCTTGACTGCTATACTTCTGCACTCCAGTGCTCGGTCACCTTGACTGCTATACTATCTGCTCTCCAGTGCTCGGTCACCTTGACTGCTATACTATCTGCTCTCCAGTGCTCTCCAGTGCTCAGTCACCTTGACTGCTATACTATCTGCTCTCCAGTGCTCAGTCACCTTGACTGCTATACTATCTGCTCTCCAGTGCTCAGTCACCTTGACTGCTATACTATCTGCTCTCCAGTGCTCAGTCACCTTGACTGCTATACTATCTGCTCTCCAGTGCTCAGTCACCTTGACTGCTATACTATCTGCTCTCCAGTGCTCAGTCACCTTGACTGCTATACTATCTGCTCTCCAGTGCTCAGTCACCTTGACTGCTATACTATCTGCTCTCCAGTGCTCAGTCACCTTGACTGCTATACTTCTGCACTCCAGTGCTCCAAACCAGCCTACTGCTTCCAACCTCCAAAGGAGAAACCACAAATCTCCCTTACCTGCCTAGCTTGTGTGCTTACTCTGTGTGGAATAAAGTTGGATTTTTGCCTGTGAGAGCATTTGGGGCTTTCATTACAAGAATACCAGAATGGAGATGGTCTAACCTTGACAGAGGAGTATCCACATCAAGCACTTACGTCTGAGTCACTGTTTGATTGACTCAGCGGTATGTGATTGTATTTAACACAGTATATATATTTTCTCTTTTTAACTTTGATATACTACACCAAGGATAGGCAACCTTCGGCACTCCAGATGTTGTGGACTACATTCCCCATAATGCTCTTACACCCATAATGCTGGCAAAGCATCTTGGGAGGTGTAGTCAAAAACATTTGCAATGCCGAAGGTTGCCCATGCCTGTACTACACCATGTATTTTTAATTTGTGTTTTATAGATTCTGCTTTATAAGGAACTATACTGGTGCACAGTATAGTGAATAGTGTGAGTGGAGTGGACGGGAACATGACAGATTGTTATATTCCAACTCCCTGTCTATACATTGTCCATTGGATCCTCAATGGAGGGTCCTCTCCGCAGCGCACCTCCCATAATTAGTATGGTGCTTGGCCATGCTACATTAGGGGTTTAGGAAGGCCACTGTGAATCTGTGGGTGGGTGTGCCTATGTGTGAGTGTGTATCGGAGTGATTAGCCATGTGTTTGAGTTTGGGAATATAGGTCTTTGTGACTGTGTGGATATCAGGGAGAGGGGGATCAATGGCCCTCATGTGAGATGACAACATGGTCAGTGGCCCCCAGATAGATTTAGTTTTAGATCCCAGCTTTAATGCTACCGATGCATTCTACTCTCTGCAACTCACCAAATAATTTTCCAATTATAATTGCATTGCTTGCCTCGGCTGCTGATACCTTGAACAGCAACTGCTATAATTGTACTCTGATCCTTGGCAACTGCTGGACAAACCATTCACTAATGCAACCATTGTGACCATATGACCATAAAACTAACACTAATGCTGAGGACTCTATGAAAGTCCTTTTGAAAGTCACTAAGTGCAATTCTACTGCCAATGTATGTACATTGAGATTGTATGCACCTCTTAGCAATGGATTGGGTTGAAATGGCCAAATTAAGTACTTCAAAATAGAATTTCATATACACTTGACCATGTACAGCAGTGACAAATGTTTTCCTACACCACCTATTTTACTTTGATTTTTGAAATTAATAAAAGAGAATGGAATATAAATGTCAAGCATCTTGTTCAATGTTAAAAAAAAAAAGTAATTCTTTTTTTTTTCTCCATCTTACAGGCAAGATGATGACACCCTGAGTTCTTTTGATCCTGCAACACCTCAACCCAATGACACCAGTGCTATCATGGATGGTAATTTACTTCAAGAGAATTTAACACTTCTCTAACTCTATTAACCCATGCATCACACCTACAATAGCCAATAACGCATACTTTCCCCTAACACTCATTTAAAGGGCAGCTGTCAAGCACCAAACAACTTGTGCTAATTCAATTGAGCATAACATTTGATCTATATGTTTTGCTAGCAGTTTTGCTAGCAAGTGTTTAGTTTAGGAGAAAAACCCATTTAAAAATAGGATTTTCTCTTAGCTGTCAGTCGGCGTGCCGAGGCATTGACTGACAAAGGAGAGCAGAAAAAAAACTCCCATAGGGGTTGCCTCTGCTCTCCTCCAATAGCAACTACAGCGCTTGTGAGTATATCTTTATATTTTACATTGAATATACCATGTATTTCTTTTTTCAATTTGACAATTTTTATTTTGACATATTTCAAAACAATATAAGGGGGGTACAGAAATACAAAAAGGGGGGGGGGGGCACAAACGGTAGTGCTTACATTTACCCGTCTCCACATTTAGTATTGTTAACATTTTGCAATTTTTTCATTCAAGAAACTTTTATCGAATTTTGTCTAAGAAATGTCATCTACTTAGGTGTAAAACCTAAAGCGTGAAACTGTTGGGTAGGGAGGGGGTTACAGAAAGGAAGGGGAAGGGGGGTGGGAGGGGGTCCATATCATACCTTTACCTCAAGGTTTACAGTCACATTTATTAGGATTCATTAGTTGTGTCTCGTGCCTATGTACACCCTGTGTCTTCCTACAATTTTCAGGTTTTGTCTACTCTTACGGTACTGTTCCTGTCCTGTTACTTCTCGCTCGGTTGTCTATCTTTGTCCAGCGGTTGCCTTTTGGGGCTCATTATGTCTAGTGGCGTGGTTGTCGGGGGTCTCTCGTCCCATAACCTCCATGCTTCCATGGCCGTGTCTGTCATGGGGAGAACCCCTCTATAGCGGGATTCGTATAATTGTTGTGTGTCAACGTCCCTGCACACCTCCGCTACTCGTGGGGGTCTACGTTTTTTCCATAATCTGGCTATTGCTCTCTTGGCTGTCAAGAGGATGTGGAAGGCTAGTTTCTGCACCTCTTTAGGTGTGTTTTCTGGCATGTGTAGCAGAAGGTATGCTAGGGGTGTGTATGGGAGCTTGACGTGTGTAGTTTCTCGGATCAGGCAGCCAATGTCGTGCCAGAAGCTAGCTATTTGGTCGCATTGCCACCAGATGTGGAGTACTGTTCCCTCCTCTTTCCCACATCTCCAGCACGCTGGGGACGAGCCCGGGTATAGCTTGTGTAACCGAGTTGGTACCATGTACCACCTATATAGGGTTTTCCTGTACTGTTCCAGGAGGGTCTCTGACTTGATTAGTTTTGTGGTTGCTACTATGGCACGTTCCCAGTGGTCTTTACTTATGTGGCCTCGTAGGTCTTGTACCCATTGCTTGGCCGGGTTAGAGTCTACAAAATGTTGTGCGGGTCGGAGAAGCTGGTAACACCAGGATAGCGGTTTAAACGCTGGTGTCCATGCACCTTTGGTGGTCTTTTTTTCCCATGCTGTCATACTGGAGGGACTTTCATCTGCGGTGGGAGTTTTATCTGTATGTTTATGGAGAAACGATCGTAGTTGCATGTGGGAGAATTGAGAAGCCGCTGGTATATGGTATTCTTCCTGTAGGGTTGGGAAGGGTTTGAGCTTGTTGTGTGTGAGCATTTGGTGCAGGTGCGTGACCCCGTTGGTTATCCACGGCTTGGCATTAAAGGTTGGGATACAGTATGTGATAGTGTTAAGCGGGGTGGCTGGAGATAATGCAGTATGGGTTATTAGTTTATGTCTAAACTTGTCCCAAACCCTTAATGCTGTTTTAATCTGTGCTGGCAGCTGTGACACTGCTGGCCTGAACTTAGTTGGGAGCCACATTAAGGTGGGTATGTCAAAAGGCTTAATAGCTATTTTTTCTAGTTGCACCCACTGCGGTGCAATCGTGTTTGTGAAGTGGGGAAGGAGTGCTGCTAGTGTAGCTGCTTGGTAATATGACTTAATGTCTGGCAAGGCGAGGCCTCCCTGTCTTGCCGGTGCTCGTAGTAGTGTGTCCTGTACCCGGGCCTTTTGGCCCCCCCCACACGAACCTGTTAATGTCTTTCTGTGTTTCTCTGAGGTAAGATGCGGGTACCTGTATCGGTAAATTGCGAAATAGGTATTGGAGCCTAGGGATTATGGACATTTTGATGGTTGCTATTCTCTCGGTCCAGGTCAGAAACAGTGTGCCCCATTTTTTCATTAGTTGGCGACATTCCCCCCATACCCTAACATAAGTAGACAAAAGTGTTTCTGTGGGTTTTTTGTGAAGGTTAGTCCTAGGTATTTTATGGTCTGTTCTCCATTCAAAAAGGTGGGCCTCCTTGAGGGCAGTCAGGGTTTTTTGGCTAAGCCGTATTCCCAGCGCCTGTGTCTTGTTGGCATTGAGAGAGTAATATGACATCGTGCCATATTCCCTGATGAGGTCTAGAATGAGTGGGGTCGACTGTTCAGGTTCGGTAACACAGAGAAGGATGTCGTCTGTGAATGCGCTAATTTTGATGTCTCTACCATATAGGTCTATTCCTTTAATACCCTTCTGGTTCCTGATTTGGATCAGAAGTGGTTCTAGGGCCAGGACATACAATAGTGGTGATAGAGGGCATCCCTGTCGTGTACCATTCGTCAGAGGGAACGGATCCGAGAGGAAGCCGGCTTGCAGCACCCGGGCCGTGGGACCTGTGTATAGGGCGAAGATCTGTTTGATAAATTCGGTGGGGATGTCATATTGTAGAAGTGTGCATTCAAGAAATGACCAGTTTAGACGGTCAAACGCCTTTTCGGCATCTAGGGCTAGTAGAAGCCTGCCCTGCCCTGATCCCCTCAGCTTATCTAGCACCAAGGAGAGCTTTCTAGTATTGTCTCTGCCCTGCCTGCTCTTAATGAATCCGGTTTGGTCATCTCCTATGATAGTTGGAAGGATATGTGCCAGTCTACTGGCTAAGATCTTAGCGTATATCTTTGCATCGGTGTTGAGAAGGGAGATAGGTCGAAAGTTTTTGCAGTTGTCTGTAGGTTTATCTGGTTTCGGGAGTGTTACTATCGTGGCCACTAGCATTTCGGGTGGGAGGGATCCTGTTTCCGCTGCCGTGCGGTATACTTTTAGCAGGTGAGGTGCTAGTGTATCTAAGAACGTTTTATAATAAGCGTTCGAGAAGCCATCTGCGCCCGGGGATTTGCCCGGGGCAGAGTCTTAATTACCCCCCGGATCTCCTGTATGGTGATCGGTTCAAGCAGGGCGTTCACTGAGTTTCAATCTATTTTGGGGAGTTCTATATCTCGTAAGTATCTACGAATAGAGTGCGTTTCCGGGGCTTTTGCGCCCCCGCTTGAATCTAGGTTGTATAGCTGTTTGTAGAAGTGTGCAAATTCCTGCACTATGTCCGCGGGGTTCATGAGCTTGTCTCCTGTGTGCCCTATGAGATATGGGATTCTATTGGCGGCCTGTTTGGTTCTTAGTCTATTGGCCAGGTATTTGGATGCCTTGCCACTGTGGTGGTATGTGGTGGCCCTCAGTCTGTGTAGGCAGTATTGGGTCTTTTGGGCGTTGAGTTCCGTGAGGTCTTGGTATAAGTCTCTTATTTGCTAAGGCCGCCGTGGGCGTCTTTTTATTCTGTGCTGTGGTTATCGCTATTTGTTTGTGGTAGTCTAGGAGGGTGGTTTGGTGGCGTTTCTTTATGTACGCTGCTTGTCTTATGAACTGGCCCCTCATCACCGCTTTATGTGCAGACCATACTGTGCAGTCTGAGACCTCTCCTGTTGAGTTTGCCAGGAAATATTCGCTGAGTTCTACCCTCATACGTTCTACGAATGGTTTGTCTAGGAGGAGAGACTCGTTTAGTCTCCATGTGCCCCTGCCTCGGGGTTGGTATGTGTCCGCTAGGTCAAGATAGATCGGGCTATGATCTAACCACGTTAACTCTCCTATTTTACAGTTTGTCAATTGTGGTAGGGTCTTGTTGTCTAAGAAGAATGTGTCTATACGTGTGTAGGTGTTGTGAACCCTGGAGTAGAAAGTGTAATCCCGGTCTGTAGGGTGTAACGTCCTCCAGGTGTCATATAAGTTGTACAGGGTCAATGTGTTGGTGAGGGTTTTGAAGAGGGCTTGAGTCCCTTTTTTATGTTTTCCCTGCGGCGAGGCGGTGGTATCAAGGGTCGGGGACTGGATGAAGTTGAAGTCTCCTCCTAATATGAGCCCCCCTTGTTTATATGTATCCAGTTTGGACAGGAGTGATTTGAGGAAAGAGATTTGGTTGTCGTTCGGGAAGTATGCTGCGCCTATGGTGTATTGTATATTGTTGAAGAGCCCTACCACTATGATGTATCTCCCTTTAGGGTCTATGTGGCTGCTTTGCAGAGTAAAGGCGACGTCCTTATGTATTAAGATGGAAACCCCTTTTGTCTTTGCGTCTGATAGGGCATGATACTGTATAGGCTATAGTTTTGTAAAGAGTGATGGGGCTATGGGGTGCCTAAAGTGCGTTTCTTGAATGCAAGCTATGTCTTCCGCGTTTTTCTTGAGGTCGTGTAAGAGCAATCTGCGTTTTCCAAGGGAATTTAGCACTTTAACGTTGTATGACACTATTCTCATTTTGGTGAGATTTTGTCAGGTAATATTAGTGTTAATATCCGTGTAAGTAGGATTACACCCTCTTTCTCGTAGGCAGTATTTCTGTATGTGCTGTTGTGTGACAGTTCAGTGCGGATGTCTATTACAAGAGGAGATATGGAGGCAGGAGGGGGACGGGGTAAGGTCAACCTTGACTGTTGGCCTTGTGTAGTGCACCTGGTAATTGAGGGAGAGGGGGGGGGAGGAGGGCAAAGCCCTATGAGGCTCCTCTGGGTCGTGCCGTTTGCGGCGCCCAAGGGACGCCCGCAGTTTAGGGGGTTGGTGATATTGGGACTTCCTGTTAAGGTGTATGTCCCTTCAGCCCGCACACCCACACACACTGGGGCACAATGGGTGCTGATGCGGTTAACTTGTGTTACTTTTTTTTTTTTTTCTCCTCCTCTTCTTTAACAACCTGTGGGTCTCCGGTGTCCTGACTCCCCAACCCGTGGTGATTGGGCAGTGTGATGGTCTAACCGAGAGTATGTCTCGTTGTGTGCCTGTCGGGTCTGAGTGGGAGGAGGTCGGGGGGCCCTGGTGTTTACCCATGCGTGTCTCAGGTGAAACAATAGGTTAGGAAAGTAGAAAATTACATAACAATAAGTATAACAACATAACTGGTAACTTGATTATGCGTCTTACGTATACCGCTCAGGTATGGAGTTCCTTTAACGGGATGCCCAGTCCTGGGCCAGGCGGGGAGTTTTCGTCAGGCCTGTGTTTGGCAACTTGGCCAGTGGAATACCCCAGTCTCTAAGCAGCTTTATGCCTTGCGGCGCTGACGTGATGGAGTGGAGGGAATCTTGGTGGTATATTAGCAGCTTAGCCGGATATCCCCACCTGTAGTTTAGTCCCTGGTTTCGCAGCGACAATGTGATTTGTGCCACGGATTTGCGGTATTGTAGGGTCTCCGCCGAGAGGTCGGAAAAGATTTTTATGTTAGCGAATTTCTCTGGCATTCCTCTGTTTCTGCTTGCCTTGATAATTCTTTCTTTGGGATGAAAGAAGTGTACTCTTGCTATGACGTCTCTCGCAGCCGTGTTGGGTAGGTGGCTGGGTCTTCTGAGTCGATGCGCTCTGTCTAGCAGCAGTTGGTCTGGGTGTAGTTCGGGGGTCATCTGCTGGAACATGTCTTGTAGATATTTTTCCAAGTCAGCATTCGTTACTGATTCTGGTATTCCCCTAAATCTGAGGTTATTCCTCCTGGATCTGTCTTCCAGGTCTGCTAGTTTGAGTTTTTGAGCTGTAATGACGTCTTCCAATTCTTGGACTTTATCCGCCACACTATTATGGGCCATGGAGAAGTCGTCCATCTTGGACTCTAGGTGTGCAGTGCGGTTTCCTATGTCCTGTATGTCTTTTCTAATTTCAGCCGTCAATACCAGCATTTGGGCCTTAAGGCTTGTACAGTGCTTGTGAGCTCAGCCATCATGCTCCTCATAGTGGCCACTGTGAGGGGCTGTTCCTCAGCGCTTATGTCTGGGGAGGCTGGGGACGTCGGAGAGCCCTCCCGCGATCTCTGTGGGCCGCCATCTTGTTCGGCCTCTTCCCGCGCTTTTTGCGACGCGGCTTTTGCCATAAATAAGGCCGCTTTGTCTGCCTTCGTGGGCTTGGTTTTCAGCCTCTGGGACATGGTAGGTGTTTGTTGTGGTACTTGCTTTTTTCTGGCGCTCGGTAGTCCGCTTAGTTAGTGCCCCGTGTGGTCCGAGCGGCGGGAGCTACTCCGGCATGCGACCGTGCAGCTCGAGCGTCAAGCCACGCCCCCATACCATGTATTTTTACAATATATGGGTAATTCAATGTATATGGAAACGATTTACAGTAAGTCATTTTTTCCATGACAAGTTTTCATTAATATCATACCCTTTACCTCAAGTTCAGCCCTAACATCATAGCCTAAAAAAAAATAATGTAATATAAAATGTCCAGAACAGCAAAGTATGTTCTAGGGCAAAACCCATCTTAGGGTTTTGTAGACATTTTATAAACCAAATATATAAAACATTTTTTTATGTTCTTTTATTGCTTTAGTTTGCTGGACACCCCCATTTAAGACATGAAATAAATAAATGCCAGTAAATGTTTCTGTAATAGTGCACCACTGTAGTCTCATTCTCCTCCAATGAGATTAGAAAGCTTGTGGTCTCTGTCCAATCGGATACTTTTCAATTATTGGATCTGTTTTAGTCTGTCACTAAGCTCTGCAAAACGTATACTGTTTTTATTTCCAAGACTGCAGGAACACTATCTGTGCCCCAAAATCACTTCATTGAGGTAAAATGATTTGAGGCGTAGACTATCCTGTTAAGTTGAAGTTACTGGCCGTTTGCTTAAAAATATGTTGAAACCCATATCCACCTTCACGTGTTTACAAATGTACCATACAATTTATTTTGATCCTCATCTGATCCCATCAACTTTCAAACTAGACTCTTATTCTGAATGTATGTAAGCATTAGGATTGGCTAAGTTATCTAAGCTGTACTGTAAATAGTTAAAGGTGAACGCGCACACAATAAAGGAGTTTTTACCTTATATGTACATTACACTTGATAGAAATGATGTAAATAGTTCCTGTACAAGGAGAAAAATAAAACACAACATAGTGTAATCTGTATAAATATTTTGTGAGAAGAGGTCAAAACTTGAAACACTCACAATTTTCTGAGCCGATTAGTTGGCCCTGAATGTATAGAGCATATATGTCTCCTTTATGGACGTAGGCAGATTTTCTCCATTAGTTGGGTCCCACAGGAAGTGTTTCGAGTTTTGACCTCTTCTCCCAAAATATTTATACAGATTACACTATGTTGAGTTTTATTTTTATCCTTATATACGAACTATTCACATCATTTCTATAAAGTGTAATGTACATATAAGGTAAAAACTCCTTTATTGTGTGCGCTTTCACCTTTTAATTTTAACACTATATTCTTTCTTTTAAGCATGTTAAGTGACAGTATACTTAAAAACATAGAAATATAGAATATGACGGCAGAGAACCATTCGGCCCATCTAGTCTGCCCAATTTTCTAAATCCTTTCATTAGTCCCTGGCCTTATCTTATAGTTAGGATAGCCTTATGCATGCTTAAACTCCTTTACTGCGTTAACCTCTACCACTTCAGCTGGAAGGCTATTCCATGCATCCACTATCCTCTCAGTAAAGTAATACTTCCTGATATTATTTTTAAACCTTTGCCCCTATAATTGTGGTAGTCTTCTTCTTTTAAATATAGTCTCCTCCTTTACTGTATTGATTCCCTTTATGTATTTAAATGTTTCTATCATATCCCCCACTGTCTCGTCTTTTCTCCAAGTTATACGTGTTAAGTTTCTTTAACCTTTCCTTGTAAGTTTTATCCTGCAATCCATGAACCAGTTTAGTAGCCCTTCTCTGAACGCTCTCTAAGGTATCAATATCCTTCTGGAGATACAGTCTCCAGAACTGCGTACAATACTCCAAGTGAGGTCTCACCAGTGTTCTGTGGCATGAGCCCTTCCCTCTTTTTACTGCTAATACCTCTCCCTATACAACCAAGCATTATGCTAGCATTTCCTGCTGCTCTATTGCATTGTCTGCCTACCTTTAAATCATCTAATATAATTACCCCTAAATCCCTTTCCTCAGATGTTGAGGTTAGGACTCTATCAAATATACTGTACTCTGCCCTTGGGTTTTTACGCCCAAGATGCATTATCTTGCACTTATCCGTATTAAGTGTCAGTAGCCACAACCTGACCATTTTTCTAGTTTACCTAAATCATTTGCCATTTGGGTTATCCCTCCTGGAACATCAACCCTGTTACATAGCTTAGCATGATCAGCAAAAATACATACCTTACCATCAAGACCTTCTGCAATATCACTAATAAAAATATTAAAGAGAATGGGTCCAAGTACAGATCCCTGAAGTACCCCACTGGTGACAAGTCCAAGCTTCGAATATATTCCATTAACTACAACCCTCTGTTGCCTGTCACTCAGCCACTGCCTTACCCATTCAACAATATTGGAATCCAGACTTAAAGATTGCAGTTTATTGCTCAGCCTTCTATGTGCAACAGTGTCAAAAGCCTTATTGAAATCTAGGTAAGCAATGTCTACTGTACCACCCTGATCTATTATTTTAGTTACCCAATCAAAAAAAATCAGTAATATTAGTTTGGCATGATCTCCCTGAAGTAAACCCATGTTGTCTCTGATCTTGAAATCCATGTGTTTTTAGATGTTCAACAATCCGATCCTTTAACATGGTTTCCATCACTTTCCCCACTGCTGAAGTAAGGCTTACTGACCTATAGTTGCCTGACTCCTCCCTACTACCTTTCTTGTGAATGGGTACAACATTTGCTAATTTCCAATCTTCTGTGACTACTCCTGTTAACAATGATTGGTTAAATAAATCCGTTAATGGTTTTGCTAGTACACCACTAAGCTCTTTTAATAACTTTGGATGTATTCCATCAGGTCCCATTGACTTATTTGTGTTTACTTTTGACAGTTGAAATAGAACATCTTCTTCTGTAAACTCACGTGTAATAAATGACTCATTTGTCCTTTTTCCTAAATGAGGCCCATTTCCTTCATTTTCATCTGAAAATACTGAAGAAAAATATTCATTGAGGCAGTCAGCTAGACCTTTATCCTCTTCTACATACCTTCCTTCTTTTGTTTTTAATCTTACTAATCTTTTTTTTACTTTCCTTTTCTCATTTATGTATCTAAAAAACATTTTGTCCCCCTTTTTTTTTTTTTTTACTGACTGTGCTATATTTTCTTCTGTCTGATTTGGAAGCTCTTATAACTTGCTTAGCTTCTTTCTGCCTAATCTTATAGATCATTTTGTCTTCCTCACTCTGGGTTTTTTATAATTACTAAATGCTAACTTTTTTTTTTTTTTTTACTATTTTGGCCACATCTGCAGAGTACCACAGTGGTTTCTTGAATTTTTTGCTTTTACTGACAAGCCTAATGCAGTTTTCTGTTGCCCTCAGCAGTGCAACTTTTAAATAATCCCATTTCTCTTGGACTCCATTTAATTTGCTCCAGTCTGATAATGACTCCTTTACACATATTCTAATTTCAGAAAAGTCTGTTTTTCTAAAGTCTAAAACTTTTTTGTTTTTGGTGTGGTGTGATTGCTCTTATATTAAACCACACTGACTGATGATCACTGGATCCTAAACTTTCACCTACAGTAATATCTGATACCAAATCTCCATTTGTCAACACTAAATCTAGTATGGCCTCCTAATGAGTTGGCTCCTCAATGACTTGTTTTAGAGACAATCCCAGTAGAGAGTTTAGAATAAGTTTGCCCCTGGCACAAGCAGCTATTTTGGTTTTCCAGTTCACATCAGGAAGATTAAAGTCACCCATGATGATAACTCCCCCCTTCATTATCATTTTAGTTATTTTCCCAACTAGTAGATTATCTAACTCTTCTATTTTTCCTGGGGGCCTATAAATCACACCTACACGAGTTACTGTGTGATTACCAAATTCTAACATAACCCAAACGGACTATATGTTTGCCTTACTTACTTTTATTAGGCTAGATTTTATGCTATCCTTCACATACAGGGCCACCCCTCCCTCTTTCTTGCCTTCCCTGTCTTTTCTATATAAAGAGTACCCTGGTATTGCTATGTCCCAGTCATTTTTCTCATTACACCATGTCTCAGTAACAGCAACTAAATCTACGTATCAGTTGCCATTATTGCCACAAGTTCATGGATCTTATTCCCTAAACTGCAAGCATTTGTAGACCTGATTCAAAGCTTATCATTATTTAACACACTTGCTACAGGCACCTTCTGTCCTTGTTTTGGGGACTATTGGATTGATGTGTTATCACCCTTCTCTCCCCCCTCTGTTTGTTCCCTTTTGAGAAAGATGCAAACCGTCTTTTTTGTACAGTTTATTTCCATTTCAAACAGAGCTGCCATGAGAAACTAAGCCAAATCCTTGCTCCCGACACCATTCACCAAGCCAAAAGTTAAAGTCCCTAATACGCATCCGCTCGTTGTTCTGAGTGTTAAGCCTATATATCATTGGCAAAAACACTAAAAACTTTCTTTACCTCTGAAACCTCATTGCAAGCCAAGTCATTTGTCCCTAGATGGACAAGTGCATCCAATTCCCATTCCTGCTTTGCTCGCTTAACAATATTACAAATACGTCTCCTGTTTCTGTGAGCAGTAGTTCCGGGAAGACATCTCACAAGACCACTATTGTCCTGCTCCACAACTCTTATGATAGAATCCCCCAACAACTGCTTTCTATTAGGCCTCACCACAATCTGCAAGCCTGTCTCCATAATACCACTATACTTGGGTGATTTAGCAGCACCACACTTGTATATTCCTAAGCGCCACCTACATATTCTCTGCTACCATATCTAAGCTGTACTGCCTGTGAAGTTTTTTTGTTTTTTTTACATATGTACTGTTGTGTGCATTGTGTGTAGAATAAATATATTCTAAGTGTTTATATAAGTATATTTTTTTATGAAAAACGTCAGATTTTATATTAATATTTTTTGGTGATGTAGATGAACATTAACATCACGGTGAGCTAAGTATGTACATAAAATGGCATATTTTAATTACCCTTACCATATACATATTTATTACACATGCATTAAAAGTATCAGCAAGGTGAAATTCCGTCTGGCACAAAAGAGCCCTAAGTATGATTAGATACCTGAGGGTCACCGGAGGACACAGTTAGCACTTTAGTATGTTGCACATAGCTCTTTAAATTAGCAGTAATTCTGAGCTAGCCCCCAACTTAAAACAGGGAGTCTTGGGTATCTTTTGATACCCAAGGGTCCCCTATGTCATCTAAGGCCACAATTAGAGGCCCTAGGCTGACAGGTGAGCTATGTGCAATGCTCAAGAGACCTGCACATATCCCTATAAACCCTATTAAATCACTTTGACTTGGTCATAGCACTCAGCCATGCTGATTCTGAGTCTGCCCTCATAATAAGGGTGAACCCCAGGTTCTCAAAAGACCCTGGTGAGATCTCCCTGTCTGCCCAGAGATTAGTGCTGGGCTTTGCCAGCTGTCCAGCACCAATAACAGTTTCAGGGACTGCAGCATGTTAGGGAGATCTCACTCTAATGCTGAAGTCACAGTATAGAGTGTTCACAGAGCTAGGAAATTCCTCTGCTAATTTCAAGGAGTATTAGGGGTAGGATTAGTGGCTGGACTAGGGGAAAGGTAATTGTGTGGGATATAATTGTACTCAAGAAGATTACCAGAATACAAATATGAGGCATTGACAATAGAAGGACTCTGTGCTCTGTAAATTACTCAAAATCAAACACTTGTGAAAGACACAGAAAATTTAATATTTTGACCAAAGTGCATCATAAAAGGGTTAAATGAAAAGTGTCAAAAGGCTCTGAGGGATGTACTTTCTACAAATATATTATTTTAGAAAGTGACAAATATCTGTGTGACTAAAAAAAGCATTAGTGACGTAATTAGAAATAACGTTAAAAAAATTAAAGAGCTGCTACCACTACGCGTGGGTGCTTCACAAAACACCACACCCCAAACTAAGTGGAAAACAAGTAAATGGAAAAAATGTAGGTTATAAGCCAAAAAAGAAACACACAAATGTAGTGCAAGATAAAAAAAAAATCCTATTAGAGTTCAGTGTGTTTAAAGGGACACTGTAGGCACCCAGACCACTTCTGCTCATTGGAGTGGTCTGGGTGCCAACTCCCACTAACCTTAACCCTGCAAGTGTAATTATTATAGTTTTTTTATAAAATGCAATAATTACATTGCAGGGTTAAGTCCTCCCCTAGTGGCTGTCTAGCAGACAGCCACTAGAGGGCACTTCCTGCTCCATAGCACAGGTTTTCTGTGCTAGAGCGTCACTGGACGTCCTCACGCTGTGTGAGGACCTCCAGCGTCGCTCAATTTCCCATAAGAAAGCATTGAAAAGCATTTTCAATGCTTTCCTATGGAGAGCTGTAATGCGCGTGCTCGCCCACCGGCTGACGTAAGGAAGAGGAGTGGTGGCGAGCAGAAACCACCGCCGAGGGACATCGGCGGGGGTCTCAGGTAAGTGACTGAAGGGGTTTTCACCCCTTCAGCAACCGGGGATGGGGGGTGGGAGAGAGAGGGTACCTGCAGTGCCAGGAAAACTGATTGTTTTCCTGGCACTGGAGTGTCCCTTTAAGCTTATACATTTCCACTCATATAAATAGAGCCTATTATGGTTGGTTCTAAGCTCATATGCTTCTGCACTTTAATTGGCACTGCCCCACCTTTCTTCTTTTATAGATGCCCCCAGGTAACCAAAATAGGAAGATATTGGAGAAACTGCTGTAGTGTAGTATGTCGGTTAATCATCATGGAACAATTTGCAAATAATGCACTGCTTACCTTATGTAGAGTCTATAGGACTGGTTCTAGACTTCTTTAATGTTAAGTGCCGGTTGTGGGTGGCACTTAAAGGAACACTATATGGTCAGGAACACAAACATGTATTTCTGACCCTATAGTGTTTAACCCACCATTAAGGTGGCTTGAAACCCCCCTTTAACCTCATTAAAAGCAATTAAAACTCCGCCCCTTTAGTGACTTCAGAATAGCTGATTTTTAGCCAGTGCTTTCCCAAGCATTGGAAAGTATTGGATTGGCTGAAAACGGCAAGGAGGCGGGGCCAAACACCATTTTGGCCAATCAGCACCTCCTAAGAGATGCATTGAATCAATGCATCTCTATGAGGAAAATTCAGCGTCCCCATGCAAAGTGTGGAGACATTGAACGGCACTGCTGCCTACCATGCAGCACTGACCCAGGAAGCGCCTCCAGTGGCCATCTGAGGAGTGGCCACTTGGAGGTGTCCCTAGCGGCAATGTAAGCAGTGCCTTTTCTCTGAAAAAGCAGGGTTTGCATGAAAATGCCTGAAAGCAATGATTAAACTCACCAGAACAACTACATTAAGTTGTAGTTTTTCTGGTGACTATAGTGTCCCTTTAAAGTTCTTGGTGTTCCAATATCAGTGGCACATAATGCAGAATTCAACCCACTTTTACAATAGAACAAATGTATTCCAACAAATAAAATACAATATAAAAACCGTTAAAAATCTCAAAACACATTTCACTAGTATATTCGGCTTCATCAGTGGTTTAGTGGTGTTGTCCGTGGGGGTCCATTTTAAAGCGCCTAGACTTAGAAAGTGCAATCACACCTCCTTGATTCCCATCAATCGTCTTTGTGTTGGCAATGTAATGACATTCAGTTCAGTACACTGTATGTTTTAAACCAGTGAAAGCAGCAGGAACATTACCTTGATGACGTCTCCCTTTTTACGTTTGCAATGTTTATACCATGTAACTATGCAACAAGTCTATATAGGAATAACTCTGACAATATGTGATTCTATTATGTATCTACATATTTCTCTGTATGATTTTTTTTTTGTTTATTTTTAATCTTGCATACAGAACTGGATCTGACGAGATGTATGATGAATGATTCTGACCCTATGATGCCTTCTTTACCGCTTGAAATACTTGAAGAATTAAATGTGATCTAATCTGTCCTAGCAAAGAACAATGATGGTCTACAAGAATCCAGCCTACAAATGCCTGAAACTTGTATACTTTGTACATCACATCATGCTGTGTTTAAATGTATTAATTGATGTCTATGTCATCACTTTTGTTCTAAATCAGGACTATCTTGATGTGATATGCAGTGGTTTTTCTTACCTTGCTAGAGAACTTAATAGTTCTTCAAGTTTTGAAATACTTGAAGAATTAAATGTGATCTAATCACTCCTAGCAAAGAACAATGATGGTCAGGGCCGGACTGGGAAGAAAATTCGGCCCGGGCATTTTTTAATTACAGCGGCCCACTACAAAGGGGGCGGGGCCAGATAGGGTGTGTTTTGTCATCACCAATGACAAGCATGCCCCATCACAAAGTGAGCATGTTGGTTCAATGCTCTTCCAGGGTAGACCATGCGCAGAGCTCTGCTGAAGAGCTCTGGCATGAGAAAAAGACCCTGTATTTGTTCTGCACAGCGCAAGCAAATTCAATAACATGCTTGCACTGTGTTTGCTTGAAATTTGTCTCTGGTGTCTCCATAGTTGGGATACCAGGAGACAAAAAATGCCAGGAAAGCATATTGTGCAGTGTATGAGAGTGTTGTGTGTGTGAGGGGTGCAGTGTGTGTGAGGTGTGTAGTGTGTTAGTGATGAGTGCTGTGTTTGCGTGAGGGTGCTGTGTTTGCGTGAGGGTGCTGTGTGTGATTGGGTGCTGTTTGCGTGAGGGTGCCATGTGCGTATGAGGAAGCTGTGTGTCAGGGGTGCTGTGTGTGTGTGTGTGTGTGTTGGTGTTGTAAGTGTTAGGGGTGCAGTGTGTGTGCTGTGCATGTCAGGGGTGCAGTGAGTGTGTGCTGTGCGTGTCAGGGGTGCAGTGTGTGTGAGTGAGGGTGCTGTGAGTGTCAGGGGTACAGTGTGTGTTAGTGTGTGAGTGAGGGTGCTGTGAGTGTCAGGGGTGCAGTGTGTGTGTTAGTGTGTGAGTGAGGGTGCTGTGAGTGTCAGGGGTGCAGTGTGTGTGTGTGTGTCTGAGGGTGTTGAAAGTGTTAGGGGTGCAGTGTGTGTGTGCTGTAAGTGTCAGGGGTGCAGTGTGTGTGAGTGAGGGTGCATTGAGTGTCAGGGGTGCAGTGTGTGTGTGTGTGCTGTGAGTGTCAGGGGTGCAGTGTGTGTTAGTGTGTGAGTGAGGGTGCTGTGAGTGTCAGGGGTGCAGTGTGTGTGTGCTGTGAGTGTCAGGGATGCAGTGTGTGTATGTGAGTGAGGGTGTTGTGAGTGTTAGGGGTGTCTGTGAGGCTGATGTGAGTTAGGTGATTATATCCCCCTTCCATGCTTACCTTATGCCTGGGAGGGGGATCCTGCTGCTGGGGCTGCCATCCATCCCTGGTGGTCTTAGTGGTAAGTGAACTCTAGCCTGTTGCCATGGCAACGCTCCGGATCTCGCAAGAGGAACCCGGCGGAGCTGCAAGATAGAGCTCCGCCAGGGGCCTCTCTCCTGGCTGTCTCCCTCCCTCTCTCCCCGCCGACGGCCGCAGTATCCTGCATGTGGGCCGGTGAGGGAGATATTTGATCTCCCCACCGGCCCGCCGTGGACTGCTGCAGGGCTGGCGCTCGGATAGTGCCGGCCCTGCAAAGACCGGCAGGAGAGATCCTGGGACGTCCCCTGCAGGCCTCGGCCCATGGCCACCGCGGCCCACTGGGCATTTGCTGGTGTGCCCGATTGCCAGTCCGGGCCTGATGATACAAGAATCCAGCCTACAAATGCCTGAAACTTGTACACTTTGTACATCACATCATGCTGTGTTTAAATGTATTAATTGATGTCCCTGTCATCACTTTTGTTCTAAATCAGGACTATCTTGATGTGAAATGCAGTGGTTTTTCTGACCTTGCTAGAGAACTTAATAGTTTTTATTACATAAGGCCCAGTACATTAGTAGCTATTCTGCATGATAGAGCTTTAATGTATGAAGCTTTAATTATGGATACTTATAAAGAGCTTTCATCTTTAACTGTACCAGCTTACGTATAACACAACATTTATGTAGTAGGCAAGAGAAGAGGAGTGTTGTCTAAAAATGAGAAGTGGATGTCAGGAGCAGCTCCAGAGCCCAAACAAAGGAGGGACACTACTGGATTTTGTGAAAAATTCTAAAAGGTGGACATATAAATCCACACCAATTCTTAAGCACAGATGTGCATGCAGTGACAAATACCTACACACGTAGTCATGCAGCTTCTGCTATGACACTGATGCCCTGGTTCCTGTCTGACATATAAGTTAAATGACCCATGACCTAATATTTCAGGGACAGGTATGAGTCCTAGTGTATATTTGTAAGTCATTGAAAGGAGGCCAAAGATCATTTCCTGCCTATGAAGATTTTACATGTATTATAAAGCACTATCGGGTGTAGAAAAGTACTTTAATTTCCTTTTTGATTTCCAACCTTGATATTTTTTTATATCTAAAGCCGAAGACCAACACATTATGCCTTAAGGAGACAGTTTATCACCACTGCAGCTGTAAAATACATCTTTGTTTCTCTAATCTTACCATTGGCCAAAATGGTGTTATGGTGTTGGAAGAAGATTATTACGGAGGTTTTAGTAATACATTTTTGACGTAGTAATGTTAAAAATGGAGGAGGTCATGGTGCCCATAACAAGGAGCATTGTATTCTAACACATCACATACCTAAAGCACTTTAATTGCTAATGTGATTTTGTTCCGAACAGTGTGTCTTTTTTTTCATTTTACAAAAAGATTTTAATAGAAACATTGGGACATTTATAAATCTTGTAGCACCCCCTGCCCGTCAGTCAGAAAAATAGTCCTGTTACTTCCTGGTTGTTTTGCACAGTGGAGCTAAATTCAAGAGGCAGGCAATGCCTCCAAGCACCTGCCTTGAAAATACTTCTCGTTCAACTGCATTGGAAAGTCTGTGATTGGACAACCTCAGGAAGTCTGGTTGCAAATGGTGCAGACTACAGATCTGCAGCTTTTACAAGCAGTTTTTATATATACCCCTCATTGTAAAAATGCATGCGTGTTTTCATTGGAGGTATATCTACTTTTCCCCCCCCAACTGAATTGTTCCTTAAATTGCTTGTCCCTGCTTAGTTATTAAACAAGTTTAGCTCACATGTACCGTTATAGACAGTATAGAATACAAACTCTTGGCTGAGTATTATGGAAAGGTAATTTCTCAGTGTGTGTGTGTATGCATGTATATACAGGGAGTGCAGAATTATTAGGCAAATGAGTATTTTGACCACATCATCCTCTTTATGCATGTTGTCTTACTCCAAGCTGTATAGTCTCGAAAGCCTACTACCAATTAAGCATATTAGGTGATGTGCATCTCTGTAATGAGAAGGGGTGTGGTCTAATGACATCAACACCCTATATCAGGTGTGCATAATTATTAGGCAACTTCCTTTCCTTTGGCAAAATGGGTCAAAAGAAGGACTTGACAGGCTCCGAAAAGTCAAAAATAGTGAGATATCTTGCAGAGGGATGCAGCACTCTTAAAATTGCAAAGCTTCTGAAGCGTGATCATCGAACAATCAGCGTTTCATTCAAAATAGTCAACAGGGTCGCAAGAAGCGTGTGGAAAAACCAAGGCGCAAAATAACTGCCCATGAACTGAGAAAAGTCAAGCGTGCAGCTGCCGCGATGCCACTTGCCACCAGTTTGGCCATATTTCAGAGCTGCAACATCACTGGAGTGCCCAAAAGCACAAGGTGTGCAATACTCAGAGACATGGCCAAGGTAAGAAAGGCTGAAAGACGACCACCACTGAACAGACACACAAGCTGAAACGTCAAGACTGGGCCAAGAAATATCTCAAGACTGATTTTTCTAAGGTTTTATGGACTGATGAAATGAGAGTGAGTCTTGATGGGCCAGATGGATGGGCCCGTAGCTGGATTGGTAAAAGGCAGAGAGCTCCAGTCCGACTCAGACGCCAGCAAGGTGGAGGTGGAGTACTGGTTTGAGCTGGTATCATCAAAGATGAGCTTGTGGGGCCTTTTCGGGTTGAGGATGGAGTCAAGCTCAACTCCCAGTCCTACTGCCAGTTCCTGGAAGACACCTTCTTCAAGCAGTGGTACAGGAAGAATTCTGCATCCTTCAAGAAAAACATGATTTTCATGCAGGACAATGCTCCATTACACGCGTCCAAGTACTCCACAGCGTGGCTGGCAAGAAAGGGTATAAAAGAAGAAAATCTAATGACATGGCCTCCTTGTTCACCTGATCTGAACCCCATTGAGAACCTGTGGTCCATCATCAAATGTGAGATTTACAAGGAGGGAAAACAGTACACCTCTGAACAGTGTCTGGGAGGCTGTGGTTGCTGCTGCACGCAATGTTGATGGTGAACAGATCAAAACACTGACAGAATCCATGGATGGCAGGCTTTTTGAGTGTCCTTGCAAAGAAAGGTGGCTATATTGGTCACTGATTTGTTTTTGTTTTGTTTTTGAATGTCAGAAATGTATATTTGTGAATGTTGAGATGTTATATTGGTTTCACTGGTAATAATAAATAATTGAAATGGGTATATATTTGTTTTTGTTAAGTTGCCTAATAATTATGCACAGTAATAGTCACCTGCACACACAGATATCCCCCTAACATAGCTATAACTAAAACAAACTAAAAACTACTTCCAAAAATATTCAGCTTTGATATTAATGAGTTTTTTGGGTTCATTGAGAACATGGTTGTTGTTCAATAATAAAATTAATCCTCAAAAATACAACTTGCCTAATAATTCTGCACTCCCTGTATAGATGGAGAGAGAGAGAGTTGTTTACCTATGAATTTTTTTAATCCACTTTCAAGAGCCAGCTTCTTACAAGTTTAATGAAGTCAAACTGATTTTTGCATTTCGTAACAGATACTTAACAGAGTTGAGTATCTTATAGTAAGGTGCAGGTACCTGAAAAGTGCACTTTAGCATTTATATGACTAATATTGTCTTAAAGGACCACTATAGTGCCAGGAAAACATACTCGTTTTCCTGGCACTATAGTGCCCTGAGGGTTTCCCCACCCTCAGGGACCCCCTCCCGCCTGGCTCCTCCCTTTCGGCTGAATGCGCATGCGCGGCAAGAGCTGCGTGTGCATTCAGCCGGTCTCATAGGAAAGCATTCATAATGCTTTCCTATGGACGCTTGCGTGTTCTCACTGTGATTTTCACAGTGAGAATCACGCAAGCGCCTCTAGCGGCTGTCAATGAGACAGCCACTAGTGGATTTGGAGGATGGATTAACCCATTTATAAACATAGCAGTTTCTCTGAAACTGCTATGTTTATAAAAAAAAATGGGTTAATCCTAGCTGGACCTGGCACCCAGACCACTTCATTAAGCTGAAGTGGTCTGGGTGCCTAGAGTGGTCCTTTAACTGTGAACCAAGCAGACTGAAATGAACTCCTGCGTTTGCATTGTCCTCCATATATAAACCACTAAAATGTTTTGGTAAACATTAAAACCTAAACCACTAAGTAAGGGGGAAGGGGGGGGAGGGAGGGGGGTTGCTTCTCAACAAAAATGGCTAACGGAGGTCAGGACACAGGTAGCTCATAATTAATCTATGCTGTTTTGACTGCCATTATAGCTCATAGTTATAAGATGGAAATCTGCATATACCATGTTAAACTCCTGCAAACTTCATTATTATTTTTGATTTAGCATTTAGATTCCCTAATTAAAGTTTTTCTAATTACTGGAATTGTCAGTTATTGGTCCAGCCTTCAAACATATAGCCTATTGTTTTGCATTTCCTGTAAATATATCATACATTCTTCTATTTAATGTTGACAATTAAAAGGGACGTTCTGGGCACCATGACAACTGAAGTGCCTTTGTTTGATTTTGGTCTTATTCATGCTGTATTTTTTCTCACATTCAAATGTTGCCACTTCTGCCCTTTTCACTAGACGTGCAATTCGGATGCTTCCGAATGTCTGAACTGCCGAATTTCGGAAGTGCCGAACCGCATGGCCAAAGTGCCGAATTTCGGAAGTGCTTCGGATTTCTGAAAAGTGGCAAAAAAAGTGAGAGAGGCAAAATTATGTGAATGAAGTTAGGGTTAAGGTAGGGGTAGGGTTAGGGAGCCCTACAGATCTTCAGAAGTGCCGAACCGAATTGCTGAAGTTCTGAATTGCCAAAGTCCCGAATTGCGGAAGTGCCAAAGTGCTGAATTTGTTTTCTTACCCGAATTTCAGAACCAAATTTTTGGATCATGCACATCCCTACTTTTCACACTACGTCTTACTGACTGGAAGTAGACCACATAAATGTGCAGCCTAGCCAACAAGCAATCAGTATGTGCTGAGCTGCTAAGAATAAGCAATGTGGCTGAGGGACTGGGTTTATACTGCAGAACTTTGAATGTGGAAAAAAAATACATAATAAAATATGAAACCACAACCAGTAGTAGCCTTAAATTGTGTTTGTGCTCAGAGTCCATTTAAAGCGGCACTCTCATGCCAATCTTACTTTTTCCCAATCACTTTCTCTTCTGTTCCTCTCTCAGACTCTGTTCTTCCGGTTGGTGGATGGGAGCATGTCAGCTAAACTGACTACTCACTGCTGTAAAAAAAATACCGCCTCCCAATCCAATAGATTGGACTTTAGGTGACACTCCTAAAGGAACACTATAGGGTCAGGAACACAAACATGTATTCCTGACCCTATACATCATCTAGCTCCTCCCCCAGCTCCACCTTGCCCTCCCTAAATATAGTGAAATCTTACATTTACTCCAGTCTGCTGCTGCTGGCTCTGCCCCTGATCTGCCTGCTTGGCTGACATCATCAGAATTGTTGCTCAGTACCAATCACAATGTTATCCTATAGGAAAGCATTGGATTGGCTAAGACTGTCATTAAGGCAGATCAGGTACAAGCCCAACAGAGCCCTGGCTAATCAGCATCTCTTCAAAAAGATAAATTGAATCTATGCATCTCTATGAGGAAGGTTCCGTGTCGCCATGCTATGGGTGGAGACACTGAAGTGCTGCTCAATGTGCTAGTAGCCATCTGAGAAGTGACCAGTGGAGGTATCCCTAGGTTGTAATGTAAACACTGCATTTTCTCTGAAAAGACCGTGTTTACTGCAAAAAACCTTAAGGGAATGATTATAGTCACCAGAACTACTACAGCTTATTGTATTTGTTCTGGTGAGTACAGTGTCCCTTTAAACATAATTATTTTGGATTTATATGTTGGGTACTTTGTTCCCATAGATTGGATGAAGAATGTGACTTCAGTCCTTTCATGAAATAGCATTTATTACACTGAACTCGATTAGTTTTTTATGTCCTCTGCTTGTATGATTTAAAAAGTAATTTTATGGCAAGGCAGGAGGCTTCATATTTGCTTTACTGAATCCTCCCAGCAGCAAAGAAATAATTAAACAATTTGAACAAAAATTGACATCTAGTCAGTGATATGTGGCTGTGAGACTCCTCCCAACTTTCTTTGCTGCTTGCCTCCCAGGTAAGTCAATTCTGATTATATTGGCCTTTGACTAGAGGTTTATGTATATATATGTTCATTTTCTTGTACATGCCACCTTAAATGGTTTCCTTAATTTTATTTATGATTTCTACAAATTTTGTCTATCTCTATTTTCGATATTAAATTTATGTATTCTTGTTTCCCTTCAGGGCCGACCTTTGTCGGCCCACGGGGCTTTTGGTCTCAACTTTTAGATCTCCAAACCGTTCCACTGTGTGTCTACACTGAATTTGCCGACCGAGATCTAGCCGCGGCTTAAATGCTCATTCACATCGCGCTCTAACAGAACTATACTGATGTGGCTTTGTCTGTTTATCTGTTTTCTGGTGTTCCTTGATCCTGACTAGTCTTGACTTTTCTCTCATTCTATTTTACGTGAAGCCCAGCTACTTCTAAGGACTGGAATCCTGACTATTTATTAAAGTAGTCAGTACTTGGGTTTAATATTCTTATCCATTACACAAAGTATAGCACTCAAAGCCTAAACCTGAAAAAACTTTATTCAAACCCTTGGTTTACTTTCCATTATTAAAGGACCACTTTAGGCACCCAGACTACTTCAGCTTAATGATGTGGTCTGGGTGCAAGGTCCAGCTAGGATTAACCCATTTTTTAAATAAACATAGCAGTTTCAGAGAAACTGCTATGTTTACAAATGGGTTAATCCTTCCTCCAATTCCTCTAGCGACTGTCTCACTGACAGCCGCTAGAGGCGCTTGCGTGATTAGCACGCAAGCGTCCATAGGAAAGCATTGCAAATGCTTTCCTATGCGACTGGCTGAATGCGCGCACAGCTTTTGCCGCGCGTGCGCATTCAGCCGAATGGGAGGAACGGAGGAGGAGAGCTTCCCGCCCAACGCTGGAAAAAGGTACGTTTTTACCCCTTTCCTCTCCCCAGAGCCTGGCGGGAGGGGGTCCCTGAGGGTGGGGGCACCCTCAGGGCACTATAGTGCCAGGAAAACGAGTATGTTTTCCTGGCACTACAGTGGTCCTTTAATGAAGCACCCAACTATTACACTAAACTCAATAATTCTAGAAAAACCCTGTACCCAAATAGAGTGGATGTGACGGACCGCCTGGCACCTCGACTGGGTACCTCCGTCAATCGCTGCTTCCTAGTACTTGCGAGTACCATAAGCACTGCACTGGAACACCATAACCACCGTAAACCCCATGAACCGCGGCAGCTTGGTTGGGGTCTCGGCGTCCTCCACCCACCCTGGACCCAAGACCAGGATCCAGTTTCCAGTGGGTAGGCCTCTCTTGGTCCCGAGAGCGTAGCAGGAACAGCTCTTACAAGAGCTTAGTGATTATACTCAGGGGAGTATAGTGATTATAGCAATCCCCAGAGTGTAGTTCTCCAATCCTCAAACATGAGCCAAGACTTCATGAAGGTGCAAGATGATCTGATAGTTTAATGGTTCAGGTTGGCTTTTACACAATTCTCCAGGCCAGAGGAACACCCCCTGGACCTGATGGGACACAGGAACACAAACCAATCAGAACAAACATACAGTCTGTGACACGCCCATGTACAGCACACAATCCCTCCCCTCTGCTTGGGAGATAATTGAGTAAAGTCCTGTAAGTAACTCAATTATCTCCAGGCAGCAAAACTAATTTTCACAAAGTTCAGAAAGTACCCCAAAACATAACATATCCCCATAAAAGCCCTGATCTGGGTGAACAACATATCCAAATATCACCCAGATCAGAGCAGGGGTTCAGGAAATTCCTGGAAGTCTTATTTTTGACCCCCCGTGCACATGGTCCCATGCCTAAAACAGTTCCAGAGAGTTAGGGCTAACGGTCTGTCTCTCTGTCTGGAGTACAAAAGTACATACTTCACATGAACAGAGCATTTTAAAGTGCATTGGGCAAGGTATATTGCAGGACCCATAGTCCTGAGGCAATAGGCTGGCCAGCAGGCCCCTCCAAGAACCCTTGACTAGGTTCAGTTTGTCACAGGGCCATAATCACAGGGTAGGAGGCTGGCAAACAGGCCCCTCCAAAAGCCAGTGCTGAGGTTACTTTCATCACCTATCTTCCCTGCAAGGGGAGACTAACCAGGTACCTGACCTCCTGTTGGTCGAGTAACCCACCCACAACCAAGTACTTGACCTGTAGCTCTCGGGTGTCCAGCTTTGTCATGTCTGTCCCATGCTGCAGAGGGGGCATCTGGTACTTCTAGTCTCTCGGTTTGCAGTTGGGGACAAGGGGAGGGCAGAGGCCAACTGCGCTCTGCCCTATTGCCAGAGCTTCTTCCCTATTGCCAGAGCTTCAGGGTGGCCTGCAGGTATTCAGGCCCGGGACAAAGGAAAAGAGGAAGGCAGAGGGCAGAGGCCAGCTGCTCTCTGCCCAGATGCCAGTTCTTCTGCTGGGATGGGGTCAGCGGATACTACCCCCAGGCCTTGGTTGAGGATCTGCTGTGGAGAGGAGGGATTGCCTACCTCCTTCTCCTGGCATTCCTGTAGTGTTGGTTGGGGATCTGGACCGGCTGCCCAGCTTCCCTGTAGGTCTGGTGCAGAGACAGCGGTCCCATCATCATTGGGGTCAGGCTTGCTGTCCCCTGTAGTTGGGGAGAGGGACCAGCTGTCTCCTCTTCCGGTATATCCGGCTGCCGCTGAGGAGGGAGACCGGGTGTCTCCACTCCCTGTGTTGCACACTGCCGCTGGGGAGTGAGACCGACCGTCTCCACGCCCTGTAACTTACCCTGCCGCTGGAGAGTGAGATCGACCATCTCCACTCCCTGTAACTCACCCTGCTACTGGGGAGAGAGGGCAATAGGCTCCTCTCCCTGTAATGCATACTGCCGCTAGTTAGTGAGACCGACCGTCTCCACTCCCAATAACTTGCCCTGCCACTGGGGAGTGAGACTGGTTGTATCCTCTCCCTGTAAGGTAAGCTGCTGCTGGGGAATTGAACCGACTGTCTCGACTCCCGGTAACGTGGCCTGGTGCTGGGTATTGGGACCGACTGTCTCCACCCCCAGGGCTGCTTGCTGCTGCTGGGACGAGGGACTGACAATCTCCTCTCCTGGTAATACTGTCTGCCACTAGGGAGGGAGACCGGCTGTCTACTTTCCCTGTAGGATACACTGCTGCTGGGGAGAGAGACCGGTTGTCTCCTCTCCCTGTAGGATGCACTGCCACTGGGGAGAGAGACCAGTTGTCTCCTCTCCCTGTAGGATGCACTGCCGCTGGGGAGAGAGGCTGGTTGTTTCCTCTCCCTGTGAGATGCACTGCTGCTGGGGAGAGAGACCGGTTGTCTCCTCTCCCAGTAGGATGCACTCCCGCTGGGGAGTGAGACTGGTTGTCTCCTCTCCTTGTAACTCCAGCTGCTGCTGGGGATCTGGGCCGGCTGCCCAGCATCCCTGTAGGGCCGGTAGAGAGACTTCGGTCCCATCTCCACCTGCCTGTTGGGGTTTCTCACAGGACCAGTCTATGAGGTCCCCTATTTCGGGTACCTCTAGCTGCCTCTGGGGAGAGAGGCTAACCTCCTTTCGTTGGAGACTTCTTTTCCCCGCTTTAGCCAGCAGGAACTCTTGGTCCCTCTTCGCTTGTCTTTCAACGGTTACCTGTGTTTTTAGATCGCCTGGAAGGTATCCATGGACACATCAGGGCCATACCAGGCCCCTCGCTGCCTCACCTCAGCCAGAAAATCTTTGCAAGAGTCACAGTAAGCCATACTTGCCTGCACCAAGTTAATGGACACCTCTGCTTCCAGGGGCACTGCACGAATGCTAGCGTTGCCCTCACCATGATCCCGCTGCTGCCACCAATGTGACGGACCGACTTGGTACCTCAGTCAATCGCTGCTTCCTAGTACTTGCAAGTACCATAAGCACTGCACTGGAACACCATAACTACTGTACACCCCACGAACCTCCGC